AATTTCAAGCCAGAGACGTTCTGGTCCATCAAAGTTTCACATACTCGTGATGGTCTTACAGTGAACTTCAACTGGCAACGTGTCCATCTTTTTGATCGAGCTACAGTGATAATCCTCTTTGAGCGATGTCTAGCAGCCAAAAAAGCCACGGTAACAAAAGTTAACAAGAAACCGACCAGCAAATGGAGACCACTTCCTTTAACTACGGTTGACCTTCAAATGATGGGCAGCAAATACTTGAGAATTGACAGTCAAGCAATTATGAAGGTATACTCTGCAATCAAGGAAACTGACTAAGACTCTTCTAACCTATTTGCTTTAATGATACCTAAGGCTGCCGAAACTCTTTATACAAAGGGTTTTATTAGTTATCCTCGTACCGAAACCGACCAGTTCGATAATGAGATTGACTTAAAAAAACTTGTCGAAAAACAATATCCAAGCGAAGCATGGGGTGAATATGCAAGAGGGTTAGTATTTTCGCCGTTATCATTGCAGAAATCCATTCTAAATTTTTGCGCGCTGTTGCGGAGTTTGTCATTACAGACTTATTAGTGGTGGCTTCAAACAACCTCGCCGGGGTCGAAACAACGATAAAGCACATCCTCCGATTCATCCAGTGGCCTTTGTCTCTCCAACAGTGCTTAATGCAAATGAGAAAAAGGTATATGAGTTTGTAACCCGAAGATTTTTAGCATGCTGCTCCGAAGATGCAAAAGGCGAAGCAACGGACATTGAGATCAAATATGGAGATGAACAATTCCATACTCGCGGCCTCGTCGTATCAGAACGAAATTATCTGGACGTCTATGTATATGACAAATGGGAGAGCAGCCAGCCACTACCAACTTTCGTCCTGAATGAATCATTTGAACCGAAGGAAGCAAATATCACAGAGGGGAAAACGGTTGCTCCCGGATATCTTACCGAGCCGGAGCTCATTGGGCTTATGGATGCGAACGGAATTGGCACCGACGCTACCATGGCTGAGCACATATCAAAAATCAAGGCGAGAGAGTATGTTGCAACTCGGCCTCGCGGGGGTGGTAGAGGTTCGGGAAGCAGAGTGGATGAATTTATCCCTACAAAGCTTGGCGTTGCTCTTGTCGAGGGATATGATAATGTGGTTGCTGCCTTGCCTGATTGTCCTAGCCTCACGAAACCGTTTCTTCGCAAAGAAATGGAACTGCGAATGAGGGATATATGTTCTGGGACCAAGACGAAAGTGGAGGTAGTGAGACAGAATGTCGAAATGTACAGCGAAGTATTCATGCATACGCAGCAGCGAATTGGGTTACTCAAAGAGGCCTGTAGGAAGTATGTCTTTGACTCTGAAAATTAACACAATCTTCGCCATAGCTCTACGCGCTCCCGAACTCACTTCCAAAACGTATAATACGTAAATCTAGTCCACACGAATGGATAATGCTGTCGGGATTTATCAGCCCCTGCTGCGATTGAATGCACACATAACTAGTTAGCTGACTATTGTAGAGTTTACATGATACTAGGTGTCTAATATCTACTTGCAAAGGTGAAACCAAGCAATGATTATATCTATCCTTTAGAAAAAGGCAAGTAAAATTGAAATCAGGATTGTTGCTTAAGTATTTCTATATTTCGGTGTTTTCATATTCTATAACCTATAAACAAAATCATAGTTCCATTGAATCCCCCGCCCTGGTTATAGCTGGATCCTCAGTGGACTTGTTGGTAACTACGTCAGCAGAAAGGTCTGGGGTACTACTGCCATTATCGTCCGAGACAGATATAGAAACTATGTCCCCTTTTTCCTTCTCCGATGACTGCCCCTGATGTGAGGAAGTTTGGGCTGGAGACTGAGAATAATCTTCACTTTTACTGGATTCCTCCTTCGCTGTCGTTGCTTCGGCTTCTAGCTTTTCGTTTTCCGCAAATTTTGACTGAGACAAACTAGCCCTTGAAGCCAGACTTCTATCCCCATCGCTTTTTGGGCGCTCCCCGAATGATTCCGCCATAGGATTCATCTTTCCTCTTGCTTTGGATGCTTCTGAAGATCCTGGTTCGGGATAAGATTTTCTGAACTTATCCCTGCTGTCCTGGTAATTTGGATCATGTCGACCGATATTCTTGCCTTTGTTTATTTCTTTCAATTTTTCAGTACCCTTAGACACGCTAGGCTCAGCATTGGAGCTGGTAGACTTGTCATCTTCCTTGTACCTTGGATCAAACCGACTGATATTTTTATCACCTCGGTCTTGTGTACTGGACAACGACGGTGAGTTGATCTTTCTCCCCACAGACAAATCAATGTGGACGGGTGGCTTGGATTCGCCAGGAACAGGCTTTGGGTTAATAGGTGCACTAAGAGGCATTATGGTCCCAGAAAGCCCTAGCTTTTCTAGACATCGGCGAATATCTTTGTAGTTAATAGCGTTTCCCTCGCGTAAACTTTCAATATGCTGCTCATTGTCAGTTATTCTTTCAACTGCTAGATTCAGGTTATTTTGAGTGCCGTAGGCGTAATTCTCAACCTCAGAAAGATTCTTCTTTAGGCGCTGCAGGTCAATTAGCTTATTTCCTTCTAGTTGAAGGACATTCAGGCACCTAAGTACATCCCCCTTATGAGCATAACGATCCTCAAAATTTTTCTCAATCTGAGTGGTGTTTAGTCGAATACTTTCGGTAAGCTTATCAAAGATTTCCGAGTGTCGTTGAGGGAGCTCATCAGAGATCAAGGCAGTGATGTGATCTTTGATTTCAACGATTTCTGATCTGAGTTCCACACAATTTTTGCCCAGATCTCTCAGTTTAACAACATGCTCCTCCTTCATAGCACTGGCCGGGTCCTTCTGGTGAGTGGATTCCCATTGGTTTACCCGGCCTTCGAGATCTTTAACATCAGTAAAAAGAGACTTGTGTTCAAACTTTGTAGCAGTTTCATCTTCCATTCTTTTGAACAACGTATCAACAAGTTCAACTTTGGTATTCAGCAACTCCAACTGTGTTAGAATGGGGTTTAGATTGTTTTCAGTTAGTGCATTGCATTCCAATCCTTGAAGCCTAGTTTCAACATTGGTGCCCCATTGGGTGAGCTGCTCGCGTTCAACTGTCCATGGCTTCGATTGTATTTCATCCACCGCCTTATCTAGGCGGTCAGATACTTCTTTCAAAGACCTAGTACTGGCTTCTTGTAGAGCTTCTAGAGAATCTCGTAAATGCTGTAAATCCTGGCTCTTCGTCCCGTTCCTCTCCTCAACATTCCTCAATGATGATTCGAATTTAGCCATCTCTTTTTTGACTAAATCAATACAGATATCTCTTGCAGAACCTTCTTTCATTTCGTTCATTCTTGAAAATGTCTGCCGTGAAATGTTGCCATTCAATTCGTCTTTTAAGACGTCGGTTGTCCGCCTCAGTTCCGCTACCTGCTTTTGAAGCGCATCAAATTCGAACTCATGGTCTTTGGATCTAGCTGTTTTGGTCGAGGCTAAAGCCAGAAGCTTACGTTCGGCTTTTTCGGATTCTCTCTTTAGCTCATGGATGGCATCCATAATTCGCGATATTTGACTTGCAATCTTTTCCGAGTTCTCTCTTGAGGAGGAAGTATAGTGCTCAATGTCGGAAATCCGATTTTGGAGAGGAGAAAACTGCAACTCAAGTTCTTCGAGTACGATATTTCTAATCGAGGCTGCGTCTTTCAATATCCTGGCATGCGAATTAGACCTAGTATCCTTTTGCAATTCCTTAATTGTGCTCATAACAACATTCATGTTCTCTGAAAAGTGTTCTGAGTGTGTTTCCGAGTCACTTTTCAACGAAATAAGATCTTGTCTCATCGCTGTTAGTTGCTGTTGAAGAGATTCAAACTCAGACCTTCCAGGCTGGCTGACTGGCAGCACCTGAATTCGCCCTGGGAACTTCTCAGGATCGCCAATCTGTGAGCTTCGCTCAGAACCACGCCTCGAAACTTGGCGCTGGCCTTCTGTCAGGGCAGCAGTGGGAGCGATCAAAAGGCCTTCGACCTTGGCTTCTACCAAATGTAAACGGGCATTGTGGGCAAGGAGTTCATCGTGTATTTCCTTCATCTTATCGGCCGGAATCTCCTTAGTTACTTCAAGCTTTTCACGTACGTCGAATCTTCGGGCGGACCTAGCCAGCCAGAAGTTGACAAAGACGAAGATGGCAGCCAATGTGTACATATTAGGATTGCGTCTGACTTCCTTCTTCGCAAAGCGATAGAATGTGAACCCAAACCAATTGTTATAATCTAGATGAATTGGGTGGAGCTCTGGATCTATGATGTTGGTCACCATCGCTTGCAACGTGGGTGTTGGAGTACAATCTGTAACTCTAGAGATCAGACGCTCCGCGTTTGCAGAGATGTGTTCCTCAAGTTTGTGATCCCATTTATTAAGGAAGACTTGGAGCTGGTCTTTGAGTAAAGGGGTGATAGTATGTAGAGACTCATTTGAAGGCGCAGTTGGATTTGAATCCGGCCACAAAACATTTCGGAACACAGATACTGCAGAATTTGTCGTAGCTGTTAGCTGGATAGTTCCGGCAACTCTCGCGGGTAATGGGAAATGTGGGTTAATCGTTGTTAACGGGATGGGATGCCAAAAGCCGTATATGGTGAAAATGATAAAGAGCCCAAAGAAAATAGCGGGTTCCATTGTCGAGGTTCACTCTCTGATCAAACTGTAATTTGGCACTTATGTATGATAGCTAGATGTAGACCTGGCGCAACCTGCAGGTCAACAAGTGGAATTGACGCACTTGTGACTAAACTAGGTACGATGATTTTGCAGTAGAAGAAAGTGTATCCCAGTAGCCTGTCATAGTGCGGAAGGTGGAAAGGTGGCAAGTAAGAGAATCTTATAGCGTTGAGGGTCTCCAACAGTACAAGAAGATCGATATTCATTCTGCCTAGAGATAGCCCTGTCACACTGCTGAAAGAGGGTTCGGTCAGCGCAGAGGTTCCTCGATAAAAAAAGAAGGATAATAGAGTAGACAGTGTAAATAAAGAAGAAGCATGAAAACAAACAAAAGGGTATACTAGGCATTGTTCATGCACTGTCTATTAGATTCCAACTGCTTCCATGGGTGGATGAATGCCATCCTAAACAGAAAAGTTTGTCAGGCCATCAAAGGGAATTCAATAAAGGGCGGAAGTGAGGCCTGAGTGGCTGTCCTGGTGGTCCTAAGACCAAGCACGGGCTATTATTTGACATAGCCTTTGGCCTTTGTGTCCAACAAACAAGGATGGATCATCAAGGATATCAAAGCAGAATAAGCCATCGTAAAATGGCTTAGGCAGCCTCACGAGTACAGCATCGGCTATCTGCCTTCTTGGCCAGAGATTCCCATTGAGGTCGCCCGTAACATCCGTGTCGTCTTTGTCCACGGCCTAGAAAATGGAAGTTGCCTTTGACGCGTTGTATTAGAAGCTATCAAGACAATAACGTTAGAGAGTGACATTCTATGTAAATAAATGTTGAACTAAAAAGCAACGCTACTTAGTTAGCAACAGCAGAATGAGGTACAGTAGGTAGGTAGGTACTTCTGACAATAAATAAAGTACTGAAGGCTGTTTGCATGAAATATGTTGCATAATAACACTTGTATTTATTCTCATGCCTTTGGCAGAAGTTGTTGATTTTGAGAAAAAGTGAAACTTTAGAGTTAAAGGTCGAGATACTCAAACACGTGACACTCCTCGATCCATGAACAGCGTCATTGTCTAGGTACCTAGTAGTTACGGCTCAAGACAGTTGGATGTTTGGATTGCCGTATTGCCGAGCGAATAAAGATAAAGAATCTGTTTCTCTGTTTTGGACCTTGATAATTAGCGGGGATATTGTTTACTAGCAATAATGAGCCCCTTTATTCGCTGCTCTTATTTACTCTGTTGATTAATTGTGTGTGGTAAGCCAATAACTAATGAAATCCAAAAGGCCCTTTTAGTGTAGAATCCAGCAAATAGATACCGGATGCTCTGGTGATACATAAAGATATATATAAAGGAATTGGGTGGGGATAGCAAGTCGAGGAATATATAATAGCAGCAGTGATGGCCTCGTTAAGGTTCTAGTTGAGGCGTTCAGCAAGGACTGTACCGTAGTAAACGGTCGCAACTAGTGCGGCTAAGTTAATCACAGCAGACATCTGGTGAAGTCGTCCAAATGTTTTGTTTAGTTTCATCATCTCTTTCGAGTGAGGACCGGCGTCGGTATATTTCTTCCCGTCGATTGATTCTAGGTGATGAGTTAGCAGCCATTTCAGAGGAGCTAAACAGAAGGTTTTGTAGTCAGATGCCAACCTTGTTCCTTTCTCTGGCGCATTACTTTTGCAGTCGCTGGCTGGATAATCAACAAGTTGGTGATCCCGCCCAAAAACGTGGTAACGATGGGAACAAGGGTATTCCATCGGTTGCTCTCAGAGAAGACACCGGAAAATCCTGAGGCTCCAAAGCGCCCAGCGACCTTTTCACCGGGGTAGGTCAAAGCAAGTACAAGTGGCACCGCAGTCTGCAGGCCAAAGTAAACTGGGAAAATGGACGACTGGAGGGTCGAGAACTGTGGCCTGGGAAGCGATTTAAATGCAATTATGCCACTGACAAATGTCTACAGCTTGTATTAGTACGGTGGTGTATATAATTATCGAGGAGCCGCACCTGGTAGGACTGAAATCCTAGCAAGGAGCCATAGCTGCATCACAGGTTAGCATAGATCCAGTAGATAGCTGGAGGTATGGATTGTCGCCATGCACACCTCAGAATATGGGCCGGAGCCAGCATAGAAGATCGTTCAGGCATGGTTATTTTTCCTCCTAGGCTCAATCTTGGGCTTCCTATCACTGATTGAATCGAATTGAAGTGTTGTTCTTGTTTTGTACTTGAATGAGCTCTGAAAAGTTGGCGATGGAAGTAGCGATGACGTCGTTTGGCCAAGGAAAGCTTCCTCATGTGACTTCGTGTTTGGATTAGTGTTTGCTTAATGCTTGGCGTGTTTGTCTAGCGCGTCTGCCTAGCTTACTAAGCGCTTGTTGACGTCGAGGCCTCTTGTAGTATAGAAACTTGTCCACCTCCATCAGCTTTACCAAAGAGCGGAAGTTCTGGGCCGCTAGATATTGTGGCTATTTCACACAATTCTATCAAGATGGCAGATAAGGAGGCCACTGTTTATATTGTGGACGTCGGGAGGTCCATGGGGGAGAAGAACGGCGGAAGGGAATGCTCGGATCTTGACTGGGCAATGCTCTACGTTTGGGATAAGATCACCACTACGGTATGGGGTAGAAAGCGCATTTCTCCCTAGTAGATAACTGCTAAACATATGCATGCAGGTTGCTACGGGTAGGAAGACAGCAACGATTGGTGTTGTCGGCCTAAGAACAGATGGTAAAGTGTTCACTCCCTTCGTCCTGGATGGGGTCTAATTCTTTATAGAGACTTCAAATGACGTTTGGACTAAATCTAAAGATGAAGCTTACGAGCATATATCAATCTTCAAAGAAATTGGGCAGTATGTTTTCGTGGTTCTTACGTATCAGATGGATCTAACTTGTTTCCCTAGAGCACTCATGCCTGACCTCAGAGAGCTTCGAAGCTTGATAAAAACAAGCAGTACAGATAACGGAGATGGTATGAGATACACATCATTACATTTGTTTTATTGCAAAAGTCTTGTTAACCGGAATACTTTTTTAGCAATCTCCTCGATAGCATTGGCAGTTGATATAATCGTAAAATACTGCAAGAAACTGAAATACAAGAGAAAAATTGTTCTTGTTACCAATGGCAAGGGGCGAATGGACCCCGATGGCATGAATCGCATTGCAGGGAAGATAAACGAAGAGGGTATCGAACTTGTTATTCTGTATGTTAACCCGATTATGACCTGGACTGCAGTTTATATCTAACACCATCTAGCGGAGTGGACTTTGATGACCCTGAATTTGGCATTAAAGAAGAAGACAAGGATGCGGTTAAGGTAATTTTCTTTGAATATTTTATTTCCTTTCTGTGCTGACTCCTTCAGGCTGAGAATGAGTCTTCTCTTCAAAAACTATGTGATACTTGTGATGGTGTTTACGGTACTCTGGAACAAGCGATATCTGAACTTGATACACCGCGTGTTAAAGTCGTGCGAGGAATCCCTAGTTTTAAAGGGAATTTTAAACTTGGGGACCCGGAAAATTATGATTCTGCACTAACAATCCAGGTGGAAAGGTACTACCGGACATACGCAGCCCGGCCACCACCTGCTAGTTCATTTGTACTATCCGGTGCACCCCCTGAAGTTCAAGAAACTGGAGACTCCTCAGCAACTTTGAATAACGCGAGTACTGAGGCTGAAAAGAGCACTTCAAATGAACTAACAGTTGTCAGAAATGCGCGATCTTACCAAGTTGCTGATTCAGGGGTAGTAGGTGGCAAGAGAGATGTGGAACGTGATGCGCTTGCAAAGGGATACGAATATGGCCGGACGGCTGTCCATATCACTGAATCGGACGAAAACATAACGAAACTTGAAACAAAAGCTGCCTTGGAGATAATTGGGTTTATACCTACTCAAAACGTTTTACTTTGCCCCCAAACACACCCTAATAATATGCAAGTATTTTTCACTGACAATATTCCAATAGTACGACCGATACATGAACATGTCGAATTCCAACGTAATTGTCGCCCAGAGAACCAATAATAAAGCTATTATGGCTCTCTCTTCTATCATCCGTGCGCTTTTCGAACTCGAAAGCTATGCTGTGGGCCGACTGGTTTCAAAAGATGGCAAATCCCCTACCTTAATTCTGTTGGCACCTTCAATTGACCCGGATTATGAGTGTTTGCTTGAGGTTCAGCTACCTTTTGCAGAAGATGTTCGCTGTTACCGCTTCCCACCCCTCGACAGAGTTACTACCGTATCCGGAAAGGTAGTGAAGGAGCATCGAAACCTGCCAAACGAAAGTCTCCTAGCAGTCATGGAAAAATATGTGGAAAGCATGGAGCTTGTCGGGTCTAATGACGAAAGGTAAGGAAACGTCAAATTAACGGCTCTTGAAGGGGAAATATTTACTAAAATCGGAGCAGTGATCAAGCAGAATCCTTTGCTCTTGAGGATTGCTACTCTCCACTTTTACATAGAATTGACCAGGCAATTCGGTGGCGTGCTATCCATCCTACCAAGTTGCTCCCAGAAGTTCCAGAAGTTCTCCAGAAATTATCCCGTCAGCCTGAAGAGCTGAAGGAGAAAAGCAAGCCGGTATTGGAACAACTGATCAAAGCATCGGATGTTAAGAAAGGTAATTTAAAAATTCAGTATTCCAAGGAGAACGATGCAGTGACATCTGACCCCACCCCATGTTGCTATTTTTTCCTACTGACAGCTATTATAGTTCCACCAAAGATGAAAGGCCGCAAACGAAATAGGGATGCTGATAAGCCTCTTTCCGGTCTTGACGTGGATGCTCTTTTACAAGGCGAAAAGCGCCAAAAAATTTCCCCTGAGAATGCAATACCCGAATTCAAACAAGCTCTTGCAAACACGGATGATATCAATACCGTCAAGGACTCCGTAAAACAGATGTGTGCGATTGTTGAGAACCAAATAAAGCATAGCTTGGGTGATGCCAACTATGACAGAGCGGTTGAATACCTGGGAACCATGAGGGATGAGCTGATTTCCTTCGAAGAACCAGAATTGTATAATGACTTTGTCCGTGAACTAAAAAGAAAGTTACTGGACGATAAATTAGGCGAAGATAGGAGAGAGCTCTGGTGGCTTATTCGGAAAAACAGGATTGGACTCATCGATGACAAGCTAGTAGAAATTTCCAAGGTTACGGAACAAGAAGCGAAAGAGGTATGTCCCCCTCACATATGTATGCTGTCACAAACCAATAAACTGACGTAGTTGGCTGAATAGTTTATATCTGCGAAATCAAAATAGATGGGCTTCCTGTCAAATAAGAAGTTACTAGGCACCTAGCTATTGATGGTTATGTAGACTCCAAGAACGTGAACGAGACAGAAATTTGATTGTTTGGACACAGTAGAATTACGTAAAATCAAAAAGCTTCAGTCTATATTATACGAAACGCTTGCAATAAATACAACGAATCCCAATGCTTCATTAAAAACCGCCTGAAAGAAGGGTATTATAACAAACAACACATGAACTAAGTAATAGGAATTTATCGAGAGGGGCCTGGTGCTTATTAAGAGATCTTCTTTGCTCTTTTCTGCGCAATATCGATTTTACTCTTCAGCCTAAAAAGAATATTGTTAGTATCAAGGAATGCGCCTTTCATTTGCAGTACCAAAAGCAAATGGGCTAGGGGTAATACTAACTTTCCAGCATCTTCATCAACCACATTCAGGAGCTCAAGCTGAAGCTCAAGTTCATTGTTGATAGCAATTCCAAGCTCCTTCTGCCGTGCAATAATCTTCCTAATTTCTTCCACCCCAACATCCTGCTCACCTATTATTTGTTTCTGTAGTTGTAGAACGCCCTCATTATCCAACTCTCTCGTGCGATTAGTCTCTTTCCCAAGAACCCGTCCGCCCTTAACTGCAGCTTTTCTAGTCCCTGTAACTGCGTCAATACCCAAAAGGGCCTGTTTATCTGGAATAGAAGCCACAGCTGAGTCTAACTTGTTTTTAGCAGCCATGGAATTCAGGAGATCCTCTAGTGCATCTTTTTCTTTTCTGGCACTAGTAAGCAAGTCCTTACGCCGGCGAAGTTCTCCTTCTCCCAGTTTCGAGCCACTCCAAGCAGAGTTTCCAGATATATTCTTCAAGCCTTCTTCCAAGGCTCCCAATAAAGTACCGGTTCTCACAAGGCTGCTTTTTGCTGATGCAGAGCATTCATGCTGTTTCTGAGGCGTTGAAGCTTGGTCTCGTCGGGTTAAATGCAGCCTTGCATCGTGTAAATGTGTCTTAACATCTCGATGGCAGTCTAGCCAGGTTGTGGGATCCGTAATCGGGGCTCCTGCTGCACCAGGTCCAGCAATAGCTGAGTGTAAGTTGGAAGCCCGTGTGGACGCATTATTGGGGGGAAGATTTAAAAACGATCGCCACGCTGTAGAGTTACGCCATCGAGAGTCTTCTGAACTGTTGATAGCTTGTATATATTCTTCTAAACCCTTGCGGCGCTCCTCTCGAAATGTTGCGTTCGATATAGTGCCCGAAAACCAGGATTTCTTAGGCAACGGTGCCGGAGGAGGTTTCTCGACCTGACTGATAAGTGACTCATGGAGTTTGAGGAAATCAGAGTATCGCTTTTCCACTGTCTGTGATCGGAGAGGTAGGCGGATAGAAATGTTGTATATGGTGTAAGGTTTTGGAGTATCAGAAATGGTTGTTGAAGGGATGGAGATTTCGGGGCTTGAAGCCATGGTAGATCTGCCCTATATCATGGAAAGTAGCTAAATATTGCAGTCAACGCTTGATACAAGCTCAGGCTGGCCCCTAAATAATAGAGTACTGAGCCCTGGAAACCACACCGTCTATGTGTAGTTGTGAGTTGTTAGTTCTCTCGGCTTAAAAAAGAAAACTTATGACGTCTGGTTAACTAAAGACATGTTCACGTGACGCATTGAGCGACAGGGGATAATTTGATAGTGACTATGAAGATTTGGCAGGGAAATAAGCTAAATCGACAGGCAACAGCTAAAACCTTGGGACTGATGCGATCACACGTTTAGCATACGGTGTATGAAGCCGCCTATGACCACGCTGTGCACTCCGTAGTGTTAGACATATTAATATGGCCCTCTGTCGGAGGAGGTGCTAGCTATTAGCAGCCATTATCACAAGGTAGGGCGTGAACATGATCCATCTAGATACATCAGCCCTCTAGCATGAATACCAAGCTCTAATATCGCTCCTCGCCCTCTTCCCATATATCACGAAATTCAAGAAGGTCTCTCTGACCATAGAACTCTCCAACAATGGTCAATATCATGTCAAGCATCGCACGAGCGTTGTATTTCCACTCGTTTTCGAGCAACTGATGGTGTCCCTTGTTGCCGTCCACTGCATCGGCAGTTAAAGCAGCAGCCTGCTCTATCTCAGAAACCTCTGCACAGCTACTGGAAAGCATCCCTTGTAGCCTTTTCTTTGCAAGCTCCAGAGCCTCGGCTTGGTCCCCATCGCCATCTGGCATACCCTTGGCTTCATCTCTGATGAGACCATCCTCTTGTTCTTGAACGTTATCTCCTTCGGCTTCCTCCTGCATATCTTCTACTTCGTCTCCATCGTCCCAGTCCGAACAATGCCTATCGGATTTGTGGTCACCCTCCACTCCACATGTAACCTGCGGTTCCTTCTCGCGGATTTTAATTAGGATCTTTCCCGCTCGCTTTCCCAAGTCTCTCAGTTCGCCAACTTCTTCACTGCTCAACTCGCCCACCTCCCTACACCTTCCCAGGAGGCCCCATGCCCAAGCAGCAATCCTCATGGTCCATGAGCAGTTTGGACTTTTGGCAGCTTCAGACAACGATCTCGTCACAATTCGTAAAACACGTAAAACACTGTCGAGATCCATACAAGCTAGTTGTACCATTTGAGGTTCCACAGTCTTCACAAGCGTTGTCCATTCTGTTCGAGCTCGAGGATTATCCGCAGGCAAAGATATAGGGTGGAAAGTATCGAGGGCGGCGATAAGTTTGGCTGGAGGGACGCATTTTAAGGTGGAGCGTAGGAGAAGAAATCGATGTCGGAGGAGGTTGTAATACCGTTCCTGAGGGTCTTCAGGTTCCGGATCGCCTACTATAGCAGGGCTTTCCAGCGCTGTGTTTGATACAGCTGCGCATACACCATCCGAATATATCCATTTTTGTTCCGTTTCTTGGGGCTTTCCGATGGAGGACACGTTTATCGGGCGGCTGCCGTCTGTCTTCATTTGGGGGCTAAGCTTCTCCTTCGCAACGAAGAACACAGGGAGGTTCCTGGCTTCCGATCTAGATAATAGGCAAAAGACGTTAGAACCAAGCCGCCCAGTCATAACAATCAGTATCCTCACCTTCGCTAAGTATGAAGGGGGGCATAAGAAAAGTATATGAAGCTTCGATAGAATTAACGGAAATAGAACTGCATGGATAGGCGAGGGGAAGCACATAGGAGTCGAAACTAACCTAACCATCCGCAGATACTCAATGCCATCATCTGCCGGGCCATAAAAGAGCTCTCCACTCTGTGGCCCATCGTCTAAACCCGGAAATGCATGTCTTTGACCGAACACCGGGTCACTTCGTGGCTGCTGATATTGCGGCCTTGAAGGTGACTCGTCTTCGCTGACTTCGTCTTCGATGGTGATAGCTGGACGTATTCGCTTTGTAGACGGAGAGCCATCTGAAGGAGATAGTTTGCGTTTCTCAGTCATGTCTCAGGTAGTAACTTGATTTCGTCCAACTCACCCTTATCCGTGTTCAGTTCATGGTGAGTGTGATTCGATTCAGTTGGTGTCAAAATGAAAAGGTGGTTTGTTACTCTGGGGTCAAGTTAGAAATAACTACTTGAATTTATTTAAGAGCTTTAGGCGCTAGCCAGAGCCGCATAAAGCTTATGGAAAGGTAGCTATACAGTATTGACTTCATAAATATATTTTTAGTTTTCTCTATGTCATTCTTCATAATATAAACAGGGTACCCGTGAGCATAATAGCCAGGTCTATGCTGCGTCTAAGGTCGCAATCTCTGGGGATCTCTAGGGAACAAGGTTGCCAGACGAATGTTGGGTAGGCCTAAGAAAAATTGGACGATACGGTTCAATCCCAATCCACCACCAGCGTGAGGAGCGCAGCCCTGTCTGAAGCCGTTGATATAATCCTCAAATCCTTCTTGGTTGGGCTCGACGCCTCTTGCTACCATGGCTTCTTCCAGCTCTTTCGCGTCATTAATTCGCTGAGCTCCAGACATGATCTCCTCTCCTCTCATGAAAAAGTCGTAAGAGTTTGAGAATGTGGGGTCGTCAGGACAAGACTTGGTGTAGAAAGGCCGGACAGCACTTGGGAACTTGTCTACAACATAGAAGTCGGTGTCGTACTTTTCACGGATGATTTTTCCAAGTTGCTTCTCCATAGCAGTGGTAAAGTCGTTCTCGAACCGCTCCTGCTCAGAGACATCCATACCTGCTTCCTTCAAGAAACCCAAGGCCTCCATGTATTTAAGTCTAAGTGCTTTTCCATGCTTTGGCAACTTGAACTCTCCAGCCTTGGGATATGATTTTTGAACAACAGCGATCTCGTCCTTGAACCGAGCCTTGAGCTCAGACAGAATGAAAACAAGGAGATCTTCGGCAAAATCCAAAACTTCATGGTAATGTTTTTGGAAAGTCCTTTCAAAATCGAGACCGATGAACTAAACCGTTTGTTAGTTTGAAATGGAGACGCAAATAGGCCGAGTAGATATCGCCTTACCTCAGTCAAGTGACGATGAGTGTTGCTGTCTTCAGCTCGGAAGACGGGTCCAATCTCGAATACGCTCATCATATCACCGGCAATGCACATCTGCTTTCCCAACTGAGGGCTCTGAGAGAGATATGCCTTACGCTTGAAATAAGATATCTCAAAAACGCCGCTACCTCCCTCAGTGGCAGCTCCCGTGATCTTGGACGTGAAAATCCATCTTGATCCGCTCTTCAACATATACTCCGAGAACAGCTGTGCAACACCGCTTGAAATAGCCATGATGGCCTGACTCGTTTCTGTTTGGAGATCGAGAATTCGGTTATCGAGACGAGTTTTCAGGGTGACGATAGGAGTTCCATCAGTGTCGACCAGTCCTTCTTCGGTGGACTCTGGTGGAGGTCTTTCAGCGTCCTTGACTTGCATAGGAAGCATTGGGATTGCTTCAGATACCATGTATATTTTGGTGATGTGAAGTTCCATGTTTGGTAGTGAGGCGGAGTGGACGGGAATTTCAGGCTTCTTGACCACACCAGATACCTGAACGATGGAATTGACGTTCAATTGACCGGTCCACTTAATCATCTGTCTAGACAATGGCTCCTTGAGCGCTATCACAGCCTGGATCTTCTTTCCTTGCTGTCTGAGCATGAGGAATGCAAGTTTCGCACTCTGCACGCGAGCATTGTCCACACGTGCGATAACGGTGATCTCCTTCTCATAATGGTCATCCGACAGTTTCATGAGGTTCATAACGTCCTCGACCTCTGCCGAATCCGGCATCTTTCCATATAGATGCTTCGCCGTGTCCTCGGCCTGGCTGGCTTGTGCAGCGGCTTGCTGTTGGGCCGCTCGCTGGGCTGCTTTTTCCGCCTTCGCCTTCTCCTTTGCGGCCTTCTTCAGCGCATTCTTACTAGGGCCTGCTGCTTCTCCCTCAGCCTGTGCTGCGGGCTTCTCGGCGTCTGGTTGTTTTTCTCCCTCCCCCTTGGTGTGGAGGGGTAGAGTAGATTCGGCAGGCTTATCCATCGCTCGGCTGCGGTGCGTCGGGGGTTAATTGAATATTGAGGGCTATCTAAAAAGCCTTATCCTCTAGAAATGGCCAAATGCAAGAATAACAACAAGAAGCTGGAGTTATAATCGTGTTCAAGCCGCATAAAATCCGATCCTCGACTTTCACCCCCGCGAGATGGAAAAGAGGCACGTGATGAGTCATCCCACCTTAAACCTTATATTTTGTACACAGAATTCGGTATTTTATGTATTTAACGGCTCTAATTGGCCAAACATGACGGAAGTTACTCCGGAGTGTAAATAATGCCGAGCTGTCGCTTATTCAGCTTCGGCAGAGCAAACGCGAGAAGGAAGTCAACATCAACGTCCTCCAACACTATGTAGAGTAAATAAATGTTCTATATTCTAATGAATATGTGGTGTTTCTTGCAATCTATACTCTATTTCACCTGAAAATGATCCTTTTTATACCTGTTTGTCTGAGAGGTGCCGCTTCCAATTCGACTGGGCTAGAGACCAATTGACAGCTTCTCCAACGCCGTCAACTATGGTCTTCGGAGTCCAGCTAGGAGTTCCACCTGTGTACACTCCGCTCTTTACCAGCACAGGGACCCAGTTTACATCAGTAGAGCTGATGTATGAATGGGCGCCTCTGATATCGGATTCCGGATTGTCACCAATCATATAAATCGTCTCCAATGGAACCGGACCATCGAGCTGGAAATGCCTATTCCTTAGCTCTATTAATCTTTGCTCGGCAAAATCGTAGGTCAACTTATGTGGTTTCCCAATCATGGTCTTCAGCAGTGACACGCCGGACTCAGATCCGCCGGTCATTGCAGACCAAACACCCTCAAGGGCTGCACAAAAGCCTCCCTGCCCAAGACGAGGTTGGTGGTAACCAGCTGCCCAGAGCAGGTCGGGATTGGAGAAATATAATGCTGGTTGGCCGTCTTGTTGATAGCCACGATTTGGAAGGTCAGCCCTATTGTTCTTGTCAGATACTGTGCCGACAATGCCTTCCCGTGAGAGTAGAAGATCGATAATGATCTGGATATCAAGCGCCCAATCTCTTGGGTCATTGAAGACAAGGATGGCATCAATCTTGAGACCCCTGGCTGGATCAACTGGATCTATCGAGTTGGTGAGAGGTTGCGTGATTCCTTCATAATAATTTGAAAAGGCTGAGGAAAATGGCCAGATAGACGGATGGGCCATAAAAATGTCACCGGGTGTTAGCATAGACTTAAACCCATACCTATGCAATGTTAGCCAACAGTGAGCCCGGAAGTAACTGCATGATGATAGTCATACTGCTTGGCGACGTCCCGGCACTTATCGCCGTCCCCGCCCACTACTAAAACTGTCTTATTTTCGAGCGGCTCTTGATCCTGTTTACCTCTTACGAGCTGTGTGTATGGCGTATGACTTTGAATGATCAACTCTGGGTCGAGCGATACTCCTAGCCTATCATTCAACTGCGCAATCCTTTCTCGTTCCGACATACCACCTCCGTTTGTAAGTAGAATAAATGGTATCCGTTGTTTCTGTAGGAGAGATAGGGACTGCGAAGCACCTGGGAGAGGTCTGGACGCCCGTAGTAGGACGCCATCTATACTAGCCACATGAATTAGTGCTTAGAATTCAATGAAGTCTGTAGATTGGGATCAATCTCACTCAAAAGCAAATGCAAAGTTAGGAACTTCCAAAGGAGCAGCTGCAGATGTCTTGAAGCCCCGTTCGACGTATGAGGTTGCAAATGAACGGGTGACCAGGCGAGGCCGGGGAACACCCAAGGGGAAAGGAACACGCTTGAATCGCATCTTCAGTTTCAAAAAATGGACGTAAATATACTTCTTCTCTGATCCCCCATCAATCAACCACCAGTATACGCCTGCAACATAGTCCTCCCCAAGCGTAATATACCTCTTGTCGTGATGTTGAGCTTGTTGCCGCTCGCGGTTACACAAATAAGAATAACACTTCCCGTGTCAGGGTCCAGCCACGTGACCAAACCTCGGCCCGGACAAAGTTTCAAAACGTCAGATCGATTTCAGTTGGTGACATCTTTGCTTTTTCCATCAAAGAGATAAAATACTTTGAGAAGCAAAGACGATCTTTAAAAAATGCAAAAGCAATGAGGCTTTCGTTGACCGCTGTCTCCGGACTTTGCCATAACCCTGCACCAAACATGGCCGACTATCAATAAACGCCCCATGAAGCCATCTTCGCCATGATGGCTCAGAACCCCCGGACCAAGGGGGCGTTCCTCCCTACTGAAATCGTCATCGCCATCCTTTCCTTTGCCTCGGACGAGGATACGGTGAATGAGAACTGGCAATCGACGCTGTTCTCATGCTGCTTGGTCTGCCAGCAATGGTATTCCGCCGCCATTCCGTTTCTCTATTCAAAGCCAGTCATCTCTGCGAGAAACTACGACTCTTTTGCAGGAACACTAGATGTCCGTGGCAAAGCTAGGCATAATATACAAGAACCCCTGGGCAACTTTGTTAAGCATCTTGACTTGGGGGGTCTTGCACATAGCGGTAGCAAGAGTGTCACTGCAAGGCTGCTACGAGCCTGTAAAGAAGAGCTCGAGGTCTTCGTTGCGCCTGCGTCTACCTTTTCGTGAGTACTCCTTAATATTCCATACCTTTCAGTAAATGTTGTCGTTCATCCTTGGCTTGGATGAATCGTTGAGATCTCATGCTCTTGGTGTATAATGAGACGATAAATTTTTTCCTTTATTTATTCACAATAGGCCATCTTTAATGCGCGTCTACTTATCATCGAAGTAGGGCAGTTAGTTTAACTCCTCTAAGCAAATGCTTAAACCTAAGAATAGTTGATCTATCCGTTTTGATGACGATAATCCCTTTTCGGAGTATACCGCTGGCTATACGCAATCTAAAGAATCTGGAGACCTTACGGTTTCCACCAGAGATGTCCAACAAGGGGTTGCCGAAAGTAAATGACCCTCACAACGAAAAGTCTCCTCCCTTATATCAATGGCCGCCAAAGCTGAAACGGCTACAGCTCTGGAGGGTACATGACTCCATTATCCTGGGGAACTTCATCTGGCCAGAAACAGTTACCGCCGTGACCATGGTGGAATCTAATCATTACCCATTCAACACCATCCTTCAAACGCTCTCCACTGATGGCGCCCGCCACAGACTCCAGCGTGTTAGGATATTGAGCAACCTCCAATCTGACGAAATCTCTATTCTCGCTCCACTTTGTTTTCAGATGGAGAAGCTGAAATTCTTAAGTCTGCAAGGTTGTGGGTGCGATCCCGGTTTCTATAGGAGAGTTATCACCACGTCTCCTGAACCGGCTCCCCTGGAAATACTAGAAATAAGTCCTCTGCCGCCTGAACACAAGTTGCGGGTTGAGCTGGTAAGGGACCTCAAGACGGTATTCGCAGTTGCGTTCCCACGAGTTCGGCTGTTAGGCATTGCTGCGTCGTGTATCGACTATGTGTCTGAGTGGTTTGAGCTTGAGATGGACAAGGTTCTGATGGAGAATGCCAGGAACTCGGGACACTACGACGAAGAGAAGCTCGAAAATGGTAGAATCCAGACCGGTGTCTACTATTTTTGATCATCTTCGTCGTCGAATGTGAAGATGCCAATACCCCCGGGAATCGTCTTTGAAAAGAGGGATTCAACCGTTCACACGAGTTTCGGCCAAAATACAACATCTACAAACAGCCAACGACCATGACAAAACTCAACATGAAAGCTGAAGAAACGAATAGAAAGCACTGCGAAGGAATATATTCGTTGAGCTCAAAGGAAAGGAGAACGTTATTGATGAAGTAATGGATCATATTATAAGCGACAAGAATCGAAAACCGCTTAGGTCATCTTTTGATAACAGGGAGAGAGAAAAGAAATTCCAAACAGGTCATTACCCATCTAAACACCAACGTGAATAAGACAAGGATATAAAGAAGAGGGCCGCAGGCTTTATGCAACAGAGGTTATAATTGCGGCAGCAACACCCTCTTCTTCCGCTCGGATGGTTATCTTGGTGGTGACGCCAGTCTTTGCGGAATATGCCAACCGTACTAGACCGGTGACTTTGCCTCCTGAAACAGTCTTTCCATATAGCTTGAGTGAATGTGTGGAATTGTTGAGTACGACATCGGTACCTTCCAAGGGTTGCAGGGAGAGAGCAGTAATAAGCTGCTCGGTGGCATCTAGAATTAAATATAAGTTAGTAATTTAATAGAGTGTACGATAGACATGGAAGAAAAAATCATCTTACCTGATATACCCTTCATGTTAGACAGCTGTAGGGTTTCGGTAGCTTCCTCGCCATTGGCACCAGTCTGCTCCCAGAGATGATCAAAGTTACCCGCAAAGGCTGGAATGACATAGTCGCTGCCTGTGAGCTCCAGGTCTTCGACCTGGTATTCATCTTCATAGCCAGTTTCTTCAGGCTCGCCAGTCGTCGGGTCAATTTCCTTGCTAGTAAATTTCAAGACATTGGTGAATGATGTGATGGGGTAGTCGTGTTCGCCACCGGCCTTCTTGAATGCAACGTATACTAGACCAGGCTCGTTTGGTACGAGTTTTGGAGCAGGGACAATGAAGTCCTCCTCCAGCGACTCATCTTCTTCCGAAGGAGTTGCAACAAGGGACACATCTTCCAGCACTGTATCGGGAAGGGTATTCTTAATGTCGTACTGTACAACAATGTGGTCCTTGAAGATATGTTTGATAGCAGTAACAACATATTCAGTCTCACGCTCCGTAAGTTCAACAGGCGACGAGGACTTGAGAAGAGTTCCGTATTCCTTGAGCTCGGGGATTTGTGCAAGCTCTTCGGCAAACTTCTGAGTTGTAGCTTGGGCCGCAGCGGCTCCATCGGCGGCTCCATTTTGCTTTGCTTTCGAAGGACCAGCAGTTGGGGCTTTGAGAGTTGGTGTAGCAGAGGTAAGTTTTTTGGTTCTCTCTTCGGCCAGGGCTTGTTCTTGGGACACGACTGGGATATTTGACAAATCAAATGCGGTTGCAAAGGTCTGCTTGTCAGTTGCAGTGACATACATGACAAGCTGGTGTTCGAAAGTAGACAAGGAGTACATGGTATCTGTGGGCAAAAATCAGTATTTACCACTCAAATAGCAAAAGTATAATAACCTTGGGTACCATACCATTGGCAATGAATCGCTCAGCAATTTCACTATCATCGATCAACCTGAGGTTAAGGGCGGCACGATCACGAACTTCATCATCGGTATCATCTAAACATCTTTTGAGAAGCACGATAACGCTTCGTCGTAGTTCGGGGTCTTTCTGTCCGACGCCAAACTTAGCTAGAGCAGTGACTGCAGCGGCCCGGACAGTCGAGTTCTCAAGCACAACCCGGTTATAAATATAGCGGATATATTTGGTAGGGTTGGGTGTCTTTGGGCCTTCTACACCAAGAAGATGCAATATCCTAACCGCCAGTTTCGTAAATTCACAATCTTCAATGAATTCACAAAGATGGGAAAGGGCTGTACGAATTGTTAGCGAAATGGCCTTCTAACGAAGTACATAGATAACGCAAATGGCATGCTTACCTTCTTCTTTACTTCCTGGGACGAATTTGATAAGATCAAACATGCTTTCAACAACACTCTTCTTGAATTCATAACCACCCTCATCCCTAAGGATCCCACTAATAAAAGACAGCATGCCAGCTTGCTTGCTTGGGAATTTGAGGCACAACGTCCGGATTGCCTCTACAATTGTGATCTTGAACTCGTCTGTGATATCCGACATGAAACCGGCGATCTGGCTCATGAGGCGGTCAACACTAGCCTCATTTCCGGTCTTAAGAAGGGTGGTTATTGCGAATGTAGCAATAGACCTGTTGGAGTTAGAGATCAAGGATTCGATATCTTGGTTGCAGGCGTTGACAACGTGTGGTTTGAAGGATGCGAAAGTATGCAACAGACGAATGGCAGCGAATTTGCTAGTGGTTCGAGGAGAGGACAAATAGAGCTGCAAGACGTTGACAGCCTGAGCAGCCTCGGCGTCGGTGACATCCTTCATCTCACTAATTGCCTTGGCCGCTTCGAAAATGACCATTTCATGTTTCCCTCTAAGCCAGCTCTCGAGCATCTGCATCATAGGTTTCCGTAGACTTTGATCCTCGTCGGCTAATTTCGCAGCAAGCCTCACCAGGAGAACGATTGCGGGGGGACTCTTGACGACACCGGAGCCGTACTGCTGAACCATCTTCACCATTGCCATTCTGTCATGGGCTCTCATCTGGCAAAGAAGGCCAATGGCATGATATTGTGTCATATAACTGGTCTGTGACATGGCATGGCGCTGTGTTGAGGATGTAAAGCTAAGAAGACCTCCGGACTGCTTTCCGGAAGAAGCAGCTTCCTGCGTTTCGCTCTGCCATCTGCGGACAATGTCTCTTGCAATTGGGAGAAGATGGTATGCGGATACTAAAGCGGCGGAGGAAACTGAGGGCGTCTTATCCACAATGGCAGTCTTAATAAGTCGCTCGATACCCTGAACAGTAGTGGCCTAAAATGGTGAAGAAAAAAAGAGGTAAGTATATCATAGTTAATGGAAGCAAAGATAACCTCCCGCTGCATATGAATAGATAGCGTACATCTATTATACGACACAAGCCCCTAATAGCGTTTGCACGGTATAAGACATCACTGCCAACTGAGGTGTCTTTCATAATTATAGAAGTCGACATAATGACATCCTGGGCGGTATTGGAAAGCTCCTTCAAGATTAGATACACCATCTGTCGTAGAGAAGGGTCTTTGTTCTGGAAGAGCTTCGAGATTCCAAAGAAGAGCGTCGTAGCTTCATCCGTGGGGAATCTCTCGCCGGTGAACAGTAGAACGGCGATCTTCGTTAACAGGGTCCGACATCTTCGCGGCGATATAGGGGAGGAATTGAATAATCGGGCTGTCGACAACGAGAGATTAGCTGAATTGCTGCCAATACAACATAGAGACCAGGGGGCATCTTTTATATCAGCCCCCCCAAAACGGGCAATATGGGCAAAAGCAGGGCGGACGCACCATCCTGGAAAACGGACGTCCTGTCCAGCTTCATCATCATCTGGTCTGCGTCCTCGTCCTTCTTCATGTAGCTCATGGCGATGGTATAGGGATCGACGACGTGCGAGGAAGTCGAGCGAGCGGTCGACGGGCGTCTTCGTGGACTGACGATATACTCAAGACCAGGTGTCCACAGCACTAACAATTTCCCTTTCCTGGTCAATTCGCGGCGTTGATGTGAACTCGCTGACTCAGCTTTGCGTGACCTCGTTAAATTTAGATTTCAGTTCACCCGGTGATATCTTGGCGACGCTTATTGTGCTTAGTCATTTAAGCAAATGACTCCTCACTGGCTATTTTCTATCGGAGCCCCGTGATATGCTTATATCACGTGATGAGAAACTTTGGCGAAAGGGAGGCGAAAGCGTTTCTATATAGATCTTCTGCTGTTTACGGTCCAAGAGAATCATAGTCAAGTTTGTGGAGGTTTGGTAGGCTATATAAAAGCACAATTTCCCTGAGACAGGCCCTGTCATACATGAACAGAGACGAATGAAATTGAAGCAGAACTGGCATCAATGGAGGGTTGCCAGATTCACTACTTAGATAACCGCCCACCTAATACCATTGTCAGACATCAAAATTGCCTTTGCGACGTCCTACTATCCAATAAGAATCCCTATATCTATGCCTGCTTATATTCAATTGATTTGTATATCAAAGGGGAAACAGAGATGATATTGGGGGGTAGGCGAGTCAAACAAGACAAACACTCCGTATGCGGTAACAGGCACCAGCATTCTGATGTCACTTATCGTGGCTCGCGATAAGCAGCAAATTCAAGCATACACAGGACGACAGAGAAACCGCCTTCCGGAGGAGTGTTCGTGGATATATACCTGGTCTTCTATATTTGACACGACTTCAAGATGGATATGCCTGTGAATGTGCCCATTGATGACCCAAACGCTGACACAGAATGGTACCTCGTTATGCACTTTCTAGATTTTGTCCCGCACCGGCCATCCAGAAATGCTAACATCAGCCTAGGAATGATATCCTTCGGAAACATGGGATTATACCAGAAAAGCCTCCATCCCCCACGCCAATTATAGAAGAAGCAATTGAAAAGGCTCGTCAGCTTGAGCACGAGAACCGGCTGGAAGACAAGACCTTGGACGAACTCGATGCCCTTGAGGACGAAGAAGACGAGGAATTCCTGGAACAATACCGGTAACTAAGAAAAAGATACCTCACCCATGACAGAAGACAATAGTCAACTCACCGAATGTACTGGTAGAAAAAAGCGGTTTCAGGAATTGTCGCGGATACAGCAGACGAGCATCCACAACCAAGTCTACCCGCTCCAAAAGCCGGACTACGCCAAAGATGTCACAGAAGCATCCTCTAAATACTTTGTGCTAGTGCACCTTACATCCTCATTGGGAAACAACATAGAATCCCGTATACTCACCGACATATGGCGGCAACTGGCTGCCAAGTACGGGGATATCAAGTTTTGTGAGATGCGCGCCGACTTGTGTATTGAGGGGTATCCTGAGCGAAACACACCTACCATACTCGCCTATAAGGACGGCGACATTAAGAGGCAGATCATTACCCTACGAGAGCTGAACGGGGCACGGACGCGAGCCGAGGATGTGGAAAAAGTGCTTGTTGCACTGGGCGCCTTGGATGAACATGATAGCCGGTTGAAGCAGGCGTCTAGTACGCCGAAGCCGGCTGAGAAAGATGAAGATGATTACGACGACTGGGATTGATATTTGGACAAGACTTTCTTTCCTTCTGTTTCTTGCAACATGCTTCTCCCCTTGCCATCTCTTGGCCTTTTGTGAGTGTATAGTATACGATTCTGGTTAGGTAAAAGGAGATTTCAAATGGAGCCCCGGACAAGGGTGTGGTCCCTGAAATCGACGGTTTACGGTTGAAAGGGCCAACATTCCCTGCACCAATGTGCAAGCATGGGTGGGCGGCTTTGTGGGGAGGGGGGGAGGAGGAACGAGGAAGACGATGACTCTTGATGGCGTTATAGTTGTAACTACATACCTGTTCCTTGTCTCCAAAGTCATAGCGTGCATCCGATCGGATCACATGGGAAGTCAGCATCTTGTCGCATCCTTGTTTCAACTAACTATTGGAAATTGACCGTTGACTATCTCCAGCTGTACGTAAAGTAGTTACGTCCCGAGACCGTCCTTTGGGCATGTCGACATCGTGGCTGAGGCGCGGATTATGACTGTGGTCATCCCGCCGGGCTACAGGGTATTCGGGCTTCAGCCAGGGATTCTGCGGAGAACCCTGGAGGGATGAGAAAACACCCCAATTTCATGGCGGATAGAGGACGCCGACAATTGTTAAGGTGAGAGCAATTGAAGGGGATAGAGGAGTAGAGAAGACCAGAAGACACCCCTGAGCGAAACGGAGTAGATTTCAGTACGTACATCAGTTGAGATAGAACACATTTTGCCCGCCATAAAGTCAACAACTGGAAGTGCAAGTGGAAAGAATATAGCAAAGGGAGAAGATGAAGAAAAAGGGGGGGATATCTAAGAAGTAGAAAAACCAGCAGTAGAAGATGTTGTTATGATAATGTCCATGTCCCGCAACACCCATAAATTCCAACCCACCAACAAAACCTAGACGCAGAAGAGAAGCAGAAGCAGAAGTAGAGAATGTCTCTAGATCAGCTCATCGTTGCCAGCTGCAATGCTATCCTGTATTGCCTTGATAACCTGCGACTCTCCGATGACGGGACCGCTGCCGTCACACTGAGCGTGTCCCTTTAACCGATCGTATATATCCTGTACGTCCAGTTTGGCACCTGAGTCCGATAAATGGCTAACTATCAGGTCCCAGGTAGCAGACGCATCTAGCAGCTTGTCGCCGGTGACTTCACAGACTCTGACCGGGTGGATTGGTTTGCTATGCTTCTCGCGTTCAGACTGACCACTGCCTCCACTGACGGTGCTGGCGGCACTGCTGTAGTCCTTGGGGGAATATATCATTGGGCCTGTTGTCGTGGGTTCAGGTTCATGAGCAGGAGAATGGCAGTGTGCTACCTTTGAAGTTGCGCGGAGGATCTCGTTCTCAGTGGCTACTTTGGCCATTTGACGCTTGAGTACTTCGTTGTCTTCAAGCAGGTTGGAGAAGTTCTGCTTGTACTCTGTCAACTCTTGCTCGAGGTCGCGGACTCGTCTTTCTTTGCGTTCACGGAAGGCTCGCTGCCTATAATTTGTTCATTTGCGTGAGTAACATGTCCAATACCCTTCTTTCTTTCTTTCTTTCTTGTTTTTTTACACAAACATGTCGTGAATGGGCTGAACATACGCAGCTCGATTCTGGGCCTTCCTACGACTCTGAGCAGGAGTCATGTTGGAGTCTTTTTCTTCACTGCTGCTACGGGGATCCCGTTCTTGGTGGCCATCTTCTCCATTTTCATTGGGGATGGGCTGTGGAAAGGCATTCGAGTCGATGGAATCCTGCTTGATCTCTCTGCCGCATAGAGAAGGGGGTATCGATGATCCGCTTGATACTGGCTCGATGGACTGTCTCGGATAATGCGCTGAAGGTATATTGTTCATTTGGCCCTGGACAGGAGGATGACCGAACTGATATTGGTCGAATTGCTGGAACGAAGGACCAAACTGTTGCTGCTGCTGCTGCTGCTGCTGGTCCTAGTTAGTTTATGCATATCAGCACCGGTTGCATCGAACAACCTTGAAAACTGCAACATAGGCAGGTCAAGACGACGGGAGAAAAAGAAGACGAAAAAAAATGGAAGCATACAGGTCCTTGCACCATCGATCCAAACTGGTCCTGTGAAGGGTTCTGAGGCGCCTGCTGGCCGTAATATGGATATGCCTGCTGCTGAGCAGACGAGTAGTACGGGTATTCCATGATGAGCGAGGAGAGCTACAATTTGGGCCAAAGAGACGAAAGACGAAAGCAACAAGCTCAGCTAGGCGAAGAGGCAAGACGCAGCTCCGAACGGGCGTTTCAATATATATACAGACGCTCTTTCTGATATGCAAGGCTCTTGGTCTGCTGTGGATTCAAAAACAAAAAAAAAAAAAAAAGGGTGTGGGGAACAAGAATTTAACTCGCAACAAGGATCGAGAGAGACGAAGAAAAGAAGAAGAATATGAGAGATGAGAAAGAGATGAGACGAAAAGAAAGAGAGAGGGAGAGAGCCAGAAAGTCAAGGATGATGCTGAGGATGATCGTTTGGACTTTGATATCGGTCCCTCTTTTTCCTTTCTTTTTCTCTTGCTTTCTCCTCGCCCTCTCCTTTAGCTATCAAATCAATCACTCCGGCCGTTTCTCTCTGTCAGTCAAGTCAAGTCAGTTCGAATCTTCTCGTCTCGGCCAGGGCCTTGCTTTTCCTTTGCCTTCCCAGCTTTCGTACGGACCACGAACCGTCAGGAGAACCAGAAGCTGGAAATCTGCAATCTCGTGTCCGAACAAGCCACCTTTGCCGCTTACGGTGACGACAATCCGTAGGTAGCTAGTGCGAGATAGTCCCCGATAGAGCCAACCTTCCATGGGCCTGTCTGGTCTTGTTTCCCTCTGCCTAGCTTAGCTACTTAGGCGGCATCCCTGGCGGTGCCCCAGCCCGGCCACCCAGACACAAGCCCTCGAGCGGCCACCAACTAACGGCCCCGTCGCATCCCCCTTCTCCATTGCCCCGTCCTGGTCAACGGCGAGCGAGCCAAGTTGAGAAAAAAGCAAAGCAGAGAGCAGACGGAGACGTATGAACAAGTAGCAGGAAGGGCCATCCGGGCGAACAGCCAGCGGGCGAATGATGCAGCCGGTTTAAAAAAGAAACACTCGGAACCCAAGCCATCACCACCCATCCACCCACCCTCACGGCCTGACTAGTAACGAACCGCCAACCAACCCTCTTCGCCCACCTCGTTCTTCAGGCCAGGGCAGAAGAGCCTGGCCCGGCCAGACCTTGCGTGCAGTGCGTGCAGGCTGCTGCTGCATCGCATCGAGAAGAACATGCAAACGAAGCAGGTGGTTAACTCACCCCTGGCTGCGGGTTTAACGGCTCCATCCCGTCACATCCCACGATCCATGGCCCACCCCTTTTGGCATCAATCTCCCTCAGGTCAAGAGGAACTGCTCCGTACTCCGTAGTTACGACGGAGTAACCTAAACTGCTGGATACATCCAACTCTGCTACGGAGTACGGAGTACCTCTGACGGAGTACCTGCTGCCTACTATTCCGTACATACATCGTCAACTGGTTAGTTATACACCCACCCTCCTCCTGTGACTCTCTGCTAGTTACGTACACCTCTGCTGCAGCCGCCACCTATAGTTAATTATGTACGGTAACTGTTGTGCCCCTGTATTCCCGCCAAGGGCGCCCGGCTTGCACTGACAGAAGCGCCTTCTCTTGCCCAACCCTTTTTCTCCTTGATCAGCTTCCTCTCTTCCTTGACAGGCGCTTGATCATGAGTCCGGTCTGTCTATTTTAACTGCAGCCAGCAGACCACGTCCCACCTATGAGAAACCAAAGGCCCCCTAGCGGCCTTTTTCCGCTTCTCCAGGCGGCAAAAAATACTACCTTCTTAACGAAGCAGACAGCCCAGCTAGCTAAGTAGTTAGCTGCTGCTATCTTGGGATACTTTTAATTTAAATACTTTATTCAATATTCCACAGAGTTCCCGGCCAGGGATGCATGGTGTTCCTCCAATCCGCCCAGGCCATACTCTGTCGGGAAGCTGGATATCAAAATTATTACACAGTTACATGCCATGGCACCAGCCCAAGCAACAAGCTAGCTAAATGCTTTAACTAACTAGTTATCCAAAGAACTGCCGAGAGGAGCAACCAAATAGCTAATAAATAAAGAATACGGACCCTACGTTGCAACGCCAACAAGCCAGCTACCTCGTTATCCTACCCTTCCCTACCATTCCCTACCCTACCTTGCTACCCGTCCTGCTTAACTAACCGATAACCTTCTAGGCCCCCTCTTGATTCCATCCTCCTGCATGGGGGCTCGGTTCTGTTGATCTGTTCGCGCAACTAACAGCTTAACTCAGGGGCCTTTTCGTATTCTTCCGCTCGTGCACATCGGGGAAGCACATAGATAAAACACCAGCCAGCATCAACTAGCTAACTAGCTAACTAGCCCCGTCAACTAGATACGATGTTTAACATTAAATCCATCGCTGCTAGCTAGGTAGTTAAATAGCTAAACTGTTGAGCTCGACGGAACACACTTCCCGGGGGAGGGAGAGAGAGGAACACATAAATAGTTGCATGCATAGCCGTAACTACCTAATTCTCTCTTCTCGGGTTCCTTACTCGCATGAACTCGTCCGTCTAGGCTTGCCCACCGGATTCACTGTCGGCTTCTACATCGGAGAGTAAGTACCAACTAGTTATGCATGCTGCCTGGCTCGCAGTGGCGAAATCGATACTTATACAGTTAATTAACTATGGGGCAAAGAGTAAGTAAGAAGAGGAGGAGGATGAGGAGCACCTAGCCGGCCGCGCATCCACAGCGGGTTACGGAGGTCACTTCTACTTTCGAAGCGAGGAGGCCCGCCAGGTCGTCAGCTAACTTGGCTATATGAATTCACTATTCAGTATGAGCTGAATCCCATGTGGATGGTGAGCGATATAGCGAGAGAACTGATGGAGAAGGCTCGGTTCCCCGAGCGGGTTTGTCCCGGTTGCTTGTTTCATGCCCTGTTTTTGGGCTGTTTTATCTAACGCAACTCGTTACCTTGTTAGCGATGCCTCGGTCTTGACGTAGTTAGCCAGATGGCTAAGCTAGCCTATTTTAACGAGCCACAGCGACATTGGTAGACTTGGTGCGGGTTTGGTAGCGAGCGAAGATGATATTTTGGATTTGGTGATGGGCAAGTTAAGTTGTTCGGTTAGTTATTATTAGTTAATGGAAATAAAGTAGCTCGTAGCTCGTGTAAATGAGTGACAAGAAGTAAAAGGGGACATGCAGAGGGCAGAGTTAAAGAAAGATCATCTCCAATCGGGCAGGTCAATTCGGTGTGTTTGTGTGTATTTTTTTGGTTCTCCCCTCGTCCCCTGCTGTGTAAAATAGCTCATCCTCACGCGTGCTCTCCTTTGCCAAACCAAATCCGATCCATCTTCCGCCACCTGCTTCGATCTGACTTCCCGAATTGAAATGTGAAAATGACCTTAAAAAAACTTGCGTCTCTGAAAGGATAATGTTGTGCTGTGCTTTAAGGGGAGATTGGTTGGGTGCAGAGTAACAATAAGAAACAATAACAAGCAAAGTGAAAACGCATGCATTGAAAATCAGGGACGTAGGGGAACAAGAAACAAAATAAATGATACCACCCCGGAAGCGACCCTAGCCATATTCCGTCGCCGTGTACCACTTTGTTGTCGAGAGAAAGGGAAGGCAGAGTTGCGTTCGAAGGGTGCCGATATACACACACATATACACACAAAAATATCCATCCTCTGACGAAGGCAGACATTGTATGTAGTGTTGTGACGAATGTTTAAATAAAGGATGTCGAACGTCATAAATATCGGTGCCCCTCTTGCTGCTCCTCGACCATACCCATGCCCGGTGCTCCTCTCAACCCTCAACGTGCAGTCTTCTCCACTGCCCATCTCCTGTCCTCACGTCCCCGCATTAACAGAGCAGAGCAAAACAAACGAAAATTAAGAAACGAAAAGCATAACATGGGCAAACAAGGTAAGGAAACGTCAATTTGGTGATAGGAAAAAAACGTAAGCATGGGGAAGGGGGAAATGATGAGGTAAAAAAATGGGGGGTAAAGGAAAGCAAGTAAGAAATGCCTGGATGATCGAGGATGAAAGAAGCCGGATGAAAACACGATACGGGCCCACGGAGAAGTTGATGTTAATTAAGTGGTGCTGCCGCCTTGGTATGTGTTGTAGTTGCTGACTTTTTTGGTTGAAGTGTTAAAAAGAGTATAATCCGGTTCCGTGTCTGATGGTTCAATCCTCGGTCATTAGAGAGAGAGACAGGATCGTCAAACAGTCATGCCCAATTAAACTGTTAGAAAACGATATCCCGCCAAAAAGAATGTCTGAAAAAAGCTCATCCCTCCTCGATGATGAAGATGACGGTAGTTCTGCTCGAGCACAAAAGATAGATGACTGCTTGGTTGCATCTCGGGGTCCCATGTTGGTATTGATAATCCACGAAAGAATGAAGGATAGTGAAAACGTGTCGGTGTCCATGTCGATTAGTTGAAAGGGTGGATTCGAGATGCGGGCCAGGAAGCAGACAAGGTGATAAAATGAAAACTTTGGTGTGATCGGAGCATAAACAGTCATGGCGAGGGAAGGAGAGTTGTAGAACAGACAAGGCTGAACGATAGGGTAGATAAGAATGATCTTTGCCCAAAAGTTCAGGGTATGAAAATGATAGACATGAGAGGACATTAAGGGGGGTGTGCAGTGTGAGAGAAAGTTATTCTTCCCAACACACCCCCCCTCGCGGAAAGAATATCCCACTCAAATCATTGAAAGAAGAAAAAAAACGTAGTTGCTTGCCAGATGATTACCACTGAGCACCATTGTTACCATCATCCCGCTTCGATGAACGGTGGTAAGGGGACGAATGGTAACCACCGATACCCATAAGATTAGCACCACCTTTAGAAGCGGAACGAAGCCTAGCGCCGAAAACTATAACATTAGTCAGATTTTCGATGGAAAACACGAGTAGGAAAAGGGATTTGTCCCTCTCCGTGCAGGCCAGTCAAGCGTCGTACATCAAACGGACCACTTCAAAGCACGAGCTCACTGACAGAGGGGAGGGAGTGTTCCTTACTCGGAACCAACGGTTGCAGATACTCACATCCTGTCGCTGCCGCCAATTGCACGGTTCGCATCTGGGTTTTCGTAAGCTCCACGCTCCATCACCTTGCGGCGAGGGGCCATGGCGGTGGGCTTGTTTTGGATGGCCGGGTTTCCAGAAGCAACATTAGCGTTGGCAATACGGCGTGGGCGTTCGTCCTCGTCCTGGCCGTTACCGGCGTTTCCAGTGGCCTGGGCAATGGCTTGGGCATTCTTCTGGTACTTGTAGACGGTCCAGTCAAAGACGTAGTCGTACTGGAACGACTCACGGACAAAGAGGTCACGGAAGATCTTGCGGAGGTAGGAGTAGTCTGGCTTGTCATCGAAGCGGAGCGAGCGGGTATAGTTCAGGTAAACGGCAAACTCGTTGGGGAATCCACGGCAGAGAACCTCAGTGGGGGTGGTCATCTTCTTCTCCATGATACGGTCGTACTTTTGCTTCTTGGTGGCGGCCTTGAGTCCCTGCCAGGGGAGGGAGCCACGGCAGAAGTAGAGCATGACGTATCCAAGGGATTCCATGTCATCACGACGGGATTGTTCCACACCCAAGTGGGTGTTGATACTGGCATAACGGGCAGTGCCAGTCAAGTTCTTGTTCTCACGGTATGGGATGTGGAAGTGAGTCTTGGGGTCACGGTACTTCTTGGCCAGACCGAAATCGATAACATTGACCTGGTTGCCACGCTTTCCAATGCCCATAAGGAAGTTGTCAGGCTTGATATCACGGTGGATGAACGACTTTGCGTGGATGTACTCGATACGGGAGATGAGCTGGTCAGCCAGCAGGAGAACGGTCTTCAGAGAGAACTTGCGGTTGCAGAAGTTGAATAGATCCTCCAAACTAGGTCCAAGGAGGTCGATGACCATGGCATTGTAGTCACACTCGGTTCCGAACCAGCGAACGAAAGGGATGCCAACTCCACCGGCAAGAGACTTGTAGACACGGGCTTCATATTCGAGCTGTGGGTGCTTGGCCTTGACGGACTCAAGCTTGATGGCAATTTCCTCGCCAGAGATGATGTTTGTTCCTGCACATGTCGTTAGATTCATAAGCGTTTGTGTGTATGTGCAGGACTGGGACGTACCAAGGTAGATATCACCGAAACTGCCACTTCCGATCTTTCGACCAATACGATACTTGTTTCCAACACGGAGATCCTATCTATCGGTTAGGCCAAGCTGTCTTTCTCTCTGGGAACCTGTGTGTGTAGACTAACCATGGTCGTCATCGTGATGGTCACCAGAAGCAGTAATCAGTTGGCTGCTGCAGGGAGTGGGAAAATGGTTTCGAATGCGTGTGTGTGTGTGTGTGTGTGTGTGAAACACTGCTTGACGGATGAGGTATTTAATAGTCGGTTGTATTAGTATTCAGTCTGTCTTGTGTAAAAACGGTCCAGGTTTATGCAACGGGCCGAGATGTGGTAGCTGGTAGTAGAAGAAGCAGGTCAGCAAGACGTGGTTTCCTGTCTCTCTCTGTCTCTGTCTGATATAAACAGCCAGAAGAAAAGGCGAGAGAAGCAGAGGATAAGAGGAAGAAGAACAAGGCAGAAGCAAGGAGAAGGGCCCGTCGACGCCTGAAGAGTGAGGGTGGTTGAGTGTTTAATGTATGATGAAGTGGCGGGAGTTGGGTGGTTGAAAGGTGAGTGAGGTTTTGGAGTGGTGAGGCTGGCTTTTTTTATCCTTTTTTGGGGGGCGGCGGCTAAGAGAAGGACAACAGTATCGTCACTCCTCACGGCCAACCAGAAGACAGAGAAAGTCCTACCTTGTCTGGCCTCGCGGAGGGCGGGAAGACCGTGGAGCTGTCCGGTGTCTGATGGAGGCCAAGGGACGTTCCCTTGAGCCAGCACGCAGCAGAAGTCGGTCGAGGTGGTGGTGGTGGTCGTCGTCGTCGCTGATGAGGTCGAAGAAGCAGCAGAAGAAGCAGAAGAAGAAGAAGAAGAAAGTCGGCGGAAGTCGGTGAAAGAAAAAAAGGCAGAAAAAGGCGCCCTTTTGGTCACGTGGCTGGGCTCTCGTCGCAGCGAAAAGTGACTTCCGCTTTTACTCTCTTTACTCTTTTACTCTCTTACTTCTACTCTTCACTGCTTCCGCTATCACTAACTCACTACGGTCACTGCTGCAGTGACTGTCACTGCTCTGTACGCCCTCTATTCCCCCTGACGGCTTCTCTCACTCTCGCGGCGGTCACTCTGTGGCGAGTCACCTGCTGCTACCCGGCTAGCTGACCTCCAGTCCTCCAGCCTGATCGCCCATGCCTGTCTCTTATCGCTCTCCGGCAGCAAGTTTACCCCCTTTTTCTCGTCCCTCTCCCTCTCTCTGCACGGCTGCATCCGACGGCTTCTGCACCAGTGAGTGACAAGCTGCGGAGACGAGGGGGACCAGCAGGGGTTATTTCTTCTTCCCCTTCTCCTTTCTTATCTGCTTGCTCCCTTCTTACTCTTGCAGGTTACTCTCGATACTTCGATGCTTTGATGCTTTTTTTTTGACTCCGCGCCCCCAGCGTCGATTCAACCTTCTAGACCTCTCTTTGGCCTGTCCAGAAGCTGAAGTCTGGGGGGAAGTTACCGCCTAAAAGGACAACCAAGCTGGGACGAGGACAAAGCAAAGCCAAGTCGCTTTTTCCTTTCGTCTTTGCCCGGTTGACTTCTGACCCTGTCAGGGCCATTATAGTTACTTATTCCCTCTAAGTATAAAGCAACTATACCTCATGTACACGGGAGATAACGTGCCACTGTCAGTCAGGCTGAGGGTTTCTCTCTTATTTTTTCACCGCCCCTTGCGTTCGCCGCCCAACTAGGCAGCTAACTAAAACACCCCCTTCCCTCTTCCGAGCGGATCGGACCATTGGCCAGGTGGTTTTATTTTAAACTAGTCAATGTTAAATGTTGTATATGCATGCATGCGGGATAGCTACCTTTAGTAGGTTGCCTGTGTGCTTTACCCTGTCTGGTGGTACGGAGCAGGCAGAGTTGACCGGAGAAACCTACTTATATTGGTTGAGGGACGGAGTACGGAGGAGAGTAAAACTGGCACAGCATACATAGCATAGCCCGCAAAGGGGTACATGGGTAGGACGATCCTTTGCCCTGACTGACCGATTATTGAAATAAATCTCACCGTCAAGTCATGTTACAACAAGCCGGCTCTCTATCTATCTATCTATCTACCGGGTATATGATAACTATATCACGATCTTCGCATTGAATATGCTGAAACGGGGAGTTTTGGTCAACCAGGCATCACAAGCAGCTACCGTATCATATGGACAGCCCACGACCAAGACATATCAACAAGTTTTACTTTTTTTTACTCTTTTTCTTTTCTTTTTCTTTATTAAATGCAAGTAAGTAGTTATGAGATTAAACAACACCAAATAGATATAAGTCTGACGTAAATGATAAGATAGAGAAGAGGAAGAAGAAAAAAGGAACGAAAACGGAATAGAGGGACAAAGTGAACTGCCATTTGACACACTTGCCGCTTTACATCAATCCTGCCTGCATAATTATCCAGAGGGAGAGAGAAAGAGATAGAGAGATTATTTATGGCAAGAGGACATTTCATATCATAAACAAGGAAAAGAAAAAGTAAGATAATAAAAAAAAGGGAAAATAGGAAACAAAAAAGACCCAGTCCACCAAAGGGGGAATTAGAAGAAGACGAGGACAATCAAACGGCATGATCTTAAGAGTAAAGCAGGATGGAGAAGGACGTAAGCAGCATTATTGTGAAAAAAGGAGGACAACGGCGATAGGAAACAAAAAAGGGGAAGAGCAATGGAAAAGCAGAAACAAACAAACAAGCAAGCAAGTAAGTAGCAAAAGCAGGAACGAAGATAAACACGTTTATTTGGTACAGTGAGCCACGTTGAGTCCAGCCGAGCCTGCGAATGGAGTGAAGAGAAGTGGGAAAATAAGTAAAGAGGGCAAAGGCAAAGCAAGCAAACGAGGGAATATCAGGGATGATAAAGATGAGATTGAGAGTACATGGACATAGATCGGTAGAGAGGAAAGAAGAGGGAGAAAGAGGAAAAAAAGGGGGTGGGGATATGTGAGGAAGATAACCGCTAAGACATCATGTCGGGTCAAAAGGCAAGAGGGCTATATTAATACACAAGAAGGTTATGTATGGATAGACCCGAGAGGGGAGAAAGGTCATGCCATTATTTTTTTGCTCATAGTATATTGCCAGCAGCAACAGGTTGAGCAGGTTGCGGTGTTGGGATATTTGGAGACTGCTGTTGTTGGCTGGAACTCGGTTCGTCGGCGCGCGCTTCCTCCTCGTCCAGTCGACGGCGCCAGTTTGCAAGACTGTCGCTTAGTCCCTCGCTATATGTCTCCTTCGTGGGCGTCTGGTCAAAGTCAAACTGCGTGCTGATTCTGTAGCTGCGGTTTGCCGTCTCCCAGTGGCTGCGAAGTGCATCCAGCTCGTTCGCCAGTGAGTCCAGCGCCATCGAGCCGCGGTGGTTCAAGAGCGTGTCGTCCTGCGAGACGTTGCTGTCCGCTCGCGGCCGGTTGGCGTGGGGCCCGTTGGCGGCGCTGGAAGCGTTGCTGACATTGCGGCTCAGGTTAGCCCCGTTCGCGTTCATGTTGCTGGCTACCTGTTGAGATTGGCGGCGGTAGTTGGTCACGGAGGATTCAACTTGGTCCAGAAGCATCGAGACTTTCTTCTCGGCGTCCATTGCGCGGGATTCAAGAAGGATGTTCTCCTTCTTGAGCTGCTCGAGGTCACGCAGGCCCTTCTCCGTGGTGCTTGAGAGTTCGGCCTGCAGGGCTTCTTGCTCGCTGCGGGATTCGTCATACTTCTTCTGTACGGAGGCGAGTTCGGCTTGGACGGCCAACAGCTTGTTCTCGAGAGACGATATGGATGCTGCTGTAGATGATTGAAGTTCGGAGATGGACTGGTGGAGCGTATCACGCTCGGCTTCCCACTCGGGCGGTGCTGCAACCTCTCGCGAAGCTCCAGCCTCCGAATTGTTAGACACTTCAGCTAGCTCAGCTTGCAATTTGGCCGTCTGGGACTTGTATTTTGCCAGCTCCTCTTTCATGCGTTTCAGCACCTTCTCTGTTCCCTTCACATAATGGACGGCGGACTGGTAGTCATTCTCAAGCTGCTCAAGCTTCTCGCTGTAAGCGCGGCCTACTTCCTGCTCTCGGTACTCGAAGCTGGACTTGGTCTCCTCATGCGCCTTCAAGCTGGACTGTAGCTGCTGCTCGAGTTCGCGCAGTCGGTTTTGCTCGGGTGTTCCATAGCGTGATCCTGGTGAATCCAGCATAGGGGATCGTCTGCTATCAGACATATTCATTCCACGCTCACCAAGCAGGTCCTTGAGAGCTCCATGCTGGATGGCCAATGCATTGGTATCACGTTGCTGGTTCTCGAGTTGAGCCTTCACCTCGCGATTCTCGACGTTGAGCGTCTGATTCTCCTTCAAGGCGGCCTGGAGCTGTCTTCGAAGCTGTAGTCCTTCCCTGCTGCTCTGTTCCTGATAGGCTTCAAGACCAGCAATCCGCTCTTCAGCACGACGTAACTTTTCGGCAGCAGAGTCCGCAGCCTGTTGGCTAGTCTTCACCAGCTCATTGGCACGCTCAACCTGGGACTGAAGCACAGCAACCCGCTGATCTGTCAAGGAGTTATTCTTGTCAGAGTCCCGACTAGCTACACGGTCGAATCCAGATAGAAGGGCAATCTTGTGGCTCTCAGCCTCCTTAGCATGAGTGTCGGCAAGCTCTTCCGCTTCCCTAAGTCGCCTAGCGGTATTTTCGAGCTCTGTGGTGCGCTCTTCATGTTCTGCTCTCAACTGTAACAGCTTCCTTTCAATTGTATCGCGGTGCTGGCGTTCCTCTTCGAGTTTCTGCTCCATAAGCTCTGCTTTGGCAACAGATGCTTGCACTGCATCTCGAAGAGATACAACGTTCAACCCATGATTCTCCATACGGCTGGAAATATCTTCATGCTTTTCAGCAAGTTCAGCATAGTCAACTTGAAGCATCTTCAGCGCAGCCTCGGCCTCGGAACGCGCAGCTGTCTCTTCTCGGTACGAAGACTGAAGCTGATGTAACTCTACCCGCATGCTCTCCAATTCGAGAGGGTTATTCTGAAGTTCCAGTTCCGTCAGTCTTTTGTTCGTCATCTCGTGGAGTTCCTCGGCCAGCTCCTTCGCCCGTTTCTCCTCCTGAAGTTCCAAAGATAACGACTCGACCTTTGCTTTCAATTCGTTCTGTACAGTGAGAGCAAGAGCTAGACGCCGAGTAATTTCGGTAGCGCGCTGGGAGTTGCTTTCGTCAAGATCACGATTGCTCATCTCGGACATTGGTGTACCACCCTGACTTCCTCCGCCTCCACCATGAGCTGCAAGCCTAGCACGAGCATAAGCCGCCTCATTCAAAGCTATATCTCGCTGGTGTTCAACTTCTGCAACCCGTTTGGAAGCAATGCCAGCTTGACGATCAACGTTGGCCTGCATTTTAGCTAGTTCCGTCTTCATGGCAAGTAACATTTCCACTAATGGACGGTCTCCTTCATTAAAGGAATCTACCGACCGCTCTTCAAAACTACCAGGAGCGGACGATGGAGTGTAGCCTGCCTTGCGAGCTAACGCAAGTTCAGACACGTACCATGCATTTTTCGTTTTCATGGTCTCCAACTCCTTTATCAAAGCTTCCTGATGGGCAGTAAGGCGCGGTGAGCGTGGTTCGTCTGTGAGACTCCTGGAGTTCCTGTAAGCCCTGTTTTCCGAAGCGAGTATTGAATCGTCCACGCTGTCAATTGAATTTTGCTGTCTTTGCTGTCTGAGTGACCGTTGTCGCGCGGGAGTTACCATCGGAGCAGCTTCTCCCGCCTCCATTGCGCGTGCAGAAAGTCGTGATGATGAATGCTGTTGGCGAGTTGCAGTAGTCATCGGGCTGTGCTCACGAACCCCTTTGTTACTTCCCTGAACTGATGTATCTCGGCTGTGCTGTCGGTCTTTCTCGGATGATCGATTATGATCTGAGGAGGAAGAAACACTCCTATCAGGCTTCCCGGATGGCTGCTGCTGCTGATATTGCTGTGTTTGCTGCTGCGTTTGTTGGTGCGGCTGTTGCTGCGTTTGCTGTTGTGGTTGCTGCTGCTGCTGTTGGTGAGGATGTTGTTGCTGTGCCGCTTGCTGTTTTTTAGCTTGAGGGGGAATAGCATTAGCTCTTGGGTGAGGTGCTTGACCAGATGGAGGTGGTCCGGCTGGTGTCTGAGCAATAGAAGCCCTTGGTAACCTGGAACCACCCGCTGGGCTTCCGTTAGGGTCCCTAGCCGGACCCAGCGGTCCCCGGCGCTGAGCATCAGGAATAACATGTTGAGCCTCACGAGATGTTCGGCCAGATTGACCTGCAGGCCTTCCATCCTGTGCAACTCTCCGGGGCGGCCGTTCTCCAGTAGGGGAGGTGGGTTGCTCATTAGGGTATCTAATTTTAGTAGTATCCAAAACATAGACAAGGCCAAGTTCCATCGGGTCTCGAGGAGCAGAGCTGGGCTCTCCTGCAAGAACTATGATGTTTTTACCAAGGGTAGTCATGCTGTGGCCTGATCGAGGTGAGGGTGCAGGGCCCATATTGTGGAAAGAGTACCATCGTCGGATCGAGATACGGAACGCAATCAAGTCTCCAAGATCAACGCCTTCCTCTGTTCGTCCACCAAAAACGTACATTACATCGCCGACTAAGGTAGCAGCATGGCCTTCTCTTGGAGTCGGAGTAAATCCGACGTAGTCAATTTGCGTCCAGGAGTTTCCTCTTGGATCATAGGCCCAGACGTCGTTAAACCATTGCACTCCGTTAGTACCTCCAAATCTGTTTTTCTTATTAGCATTGTGGTAATTGGACATGTAAGACAGAGATGGGTGGCATACAGATAAAGCTTGTCGTTAAACGTAACCATTGTGTGATTAGTTCGTGCAGGAGGAACCTGTCCAACGGGAGGACCATCGTCGTGGCTGTTTCTAAGAAGGAACTCCCACTTATTCCCCGGGTTGTTCATGGCATTGAGATCAAAAGCAAGTAAATCGTTAAAGAAGAAGCCTTCCACTTGACCACCAAAGACATAAATCTTTGACCCGAGCAAGTTCAATGAATGTCCGTACCTTCCAGGCGGACGAGGTCCCGGGGAGGCGGCGCAAGACCATTGTCGGGAAGCTGTAGAAGATCAATCAGCATTCCAAACTTGAAATCCATAGAGAAAAGAAAAGAAAGCAGCAAATGATTGTACTCACAAGTGTTGAGGAAATACAAGGTATCATCAAGGGTATCATTATCATGGATCTTCGTATCACCTCCGTAAACAATTAAAGCATTTCCAACGAGTAAACTAGCATGTCCAACTCTGGGGCCTGGCCCTTCGGTGACGGGTGAGATCGGGAAACATGTGGAATTGTTCCCACTGTTTTCTATCATCCACAGATCACCTTTGACGGTCGAACCGTCTACTAGACCACCCATCAAGTATATATCACCTTCCGCAGAGGCAATGGCATTGATCGCAGCACCATATCGAGGGAAAGGCGTGAGTTGCGGTGAAGGGAAGTTCATGCGCCGTTGTGACCAAGGGTAGAGCGCGTGGTTGGGAGCGGCAGGTTGTTGTACCCCATTAGCAGGCTGGTTGCGCAGTGCCTACAAAAATAAAAGATAAAAGGTTAGACTCTTAATCGAGTAGGTTTTCCTAGACCGTTCAGAGAAGCTAATAGCACGAACCTTTGGCTCTGAATCCGCCCGATCTCTGCGGGCATTGGGTGGTGGCTGATTCGGGCTGGGCGATGAAGAGTTTACTTGAGCAGGAGCAGGAATAGAGCTGCTGCTTGACCCAAACTGCTGAGCTGGCTCGCTATCTCTCTCGACCTCCCGAATACCATTTAGCGAACTGGACGGGTTCGACGTTGGAGCCGAACCCGTCCCTTCGGATGTGTGGATATTCCTCGTCGCGGCCGCAGGGGGAGGTGGCTGGCTATGGTTCAAAGCATGGCTCTGGATTTGGCTTTGGCTTTGGCTCTGGTTCTGCTGCTGGTTCTTCTTCGACTTGAAAAGAAAGGACATCTTCAATGATCGAGTCTAAACGAGCGTCAAACCTCACTCCAGCAGAGAGACTGCGGTCTGAAAGGGGACGGGGGAAGAGGGAAAAGCAGAAGGGTCGTCCGTCCCAGATAGTCGGTTTCGAACAGGGATAGAAAGGGAAAAGAAAAAAAAAGAAAAAAAGGATAATTTTTTGTTCAGATATCGAGAACGCAAGGTATTGACATCCACGGCAACAATGAAACGAAGGCGGTCGTTAATGCGTTAAGGGCCTCCTGAGAAGCAGGAAATCGCCGTTTCGATCGAATCGATGCTATTATTCACGGGCGAGGACAGGCGGAACGGCAGCAAAAGTCGGGTTTAATAACCAACAAGGGGAGAATTAGAATGAATGGAAGAAGCGATCGGATAGGTTGCTCGCAACGTCGACGTAGCTGATTATTATTCGACAGCCGGCTATCACTTTGGGTGAAGGAGTGGCTAAATGGTCGGTTCGTTCTAAGGGATTCTGGCGGGTGTTCCTGACCCAAACATTCATAGAGCGCGCGCGATCGGCTGCAGAGTCGTAGTACTAGACGAAATAAGCATTGGGAGCTGAGGCGGTCGAGGGCGGCGGAGGGAGACGGCGGCGGCGGCGTGCGGGAGCCTTTTCGCAGAGTCCTTGACCGTGAGACCTGGCGCAGCGAGAAGGAGGAAGAAGAAAGAAGAAGAGGAAGAGGAGGGAGAAGGCGAGGATGTGAAGGAGATGAAGAAGTGAAGTTCGGCCTCGCTGTCGTTTTTCCCTTTCTCGCTCTTTTTTCGTTCTTTCGCCAGCCAAACGAAGGCGAAGGAGCTAGTCAGGGGGTCGACGAATCGGGTTAGTCAGCGGCGCTTAGTCAGGGGCCGCGATCTGATTAAGCGCAGAAAGGTTAATCCGATATAAAGGCGAGACGAGACGCACAGGAGGCGGAGATCGAGATGCATGCCTGGATAGATGCTATTTTACAGTGGGTTCGAGAGGGATACAGGGGCAACGTGGCCGGGGGTTGGTGGCTACGGACAGAGCTACGGAGCAGAGCGGCAGAGCAGCAGAGCAGCAGAAGGAGATACAAGGGACAGGCCCATACAAAGCTTATCAGAGTTAATAACGGGGCTCCTATTATAGCCAGTCCAGCCGCACGGGGGACGGAGAGCGAAGAGTTGGTTAATGGCAGGCCTTCCCGTACTTCCGCAGCCGGGTGTAGTTGTACGGGAGAGGCGCCAGGAACCCGGCGCCGGCAGATGCAGCTGCAGCCATCCAGAAGGACGGGTCGTCAAACGCAACCACGCCGCTCGTCAGGTGGTAGTCCACCAGGTTCTGTACGGTCTCCATCCCGAGCATCGACACAAGGCTCATGCCTGCGGCCGTTTTGGCTGCAGCTTTCCACGACAACTGGTCGCGGCCCAGCCGGAGTAGCACAGTCTCAAGCAGCATGGACGACGTCAGTCCCGAGGCCACTGCGCTCGTAGGTTAGCATGGACATAGGCATGGGGGCCAAAAAAAAAGAGTAAAAAGAGTAAAACAACGTACTTGCTATTCCCATGATGAGACCTGTTCCAATGCCGGGATAGCATGACTGCAAGAACCACATAGCAGAGAAATCGCCCAGACTGCACCCGATCAGACATCGGAACGTGTTCACGCCAGCCCGTTTCCAAGTCGGTTTTGAGCTCCAGAACCCCACGGATAATATGGGTTCGTCAGACTTTTGAGATTTCGCGCAGTGGTGTGCAGGCCGTATCGTCGTCAGTGAAGCAGGCACGGCATAACGGAATTTGCTGGAGTATGAAGTAGCTCTAGGAAGCTGGCTGATCCAGCGCAGCCCTGCAGGCCGTAATCCACACAATGACATGTTTGCGAGTGTGTCCGTATGTATATTCGTCGTGTGCAGGTATGTTCCCTCAATGGCAGCTCTTGTGTCCCTCGGCGTGTGGTTGTGATTGCTTAAGCAATTTAGAGATGTAAGGCCACAGTAAAAAAAGACCAGACACGGCTATTCGACGAAGATTGCGACTATCAAATCCGTTACGGTACACGCTCCACCCAAGCGTAAGAAGAGTGAAGAGCAGGAAGGCAGGCCGAAAACGTTCGAAGATGCTCACTGACGCGGTTCCAATTGATAGGAAGTCAAGGACAACCTGAGGGAGTAAAAACAGCAGTTAGCTTGGTATCACAGCTATATATGCACTGATCGGCAGACTCACGGGAAGCCAGCAGCAGGAACTGTGAAGCAGGGCAAAGAAGACCGGGGACAAGCTGGCCAGGACCCCCTGAGGCTGAGAATCTTCTTTCCTGCTTGGATACGGAGATTGTTTGGCCTCGCTGGAAGACGACGGTGATTTTTCACAGCAAGACATCGTACAAGCAGCAGGCCTCGTATACTTAAAAGCAAATTCTTATCGGCTCTTCCTTCGCAAAGATCACGGCCCCTGGTCTTTGCGTGGTTTTTGCGAGCTTGCTAGCTAGGCGATTGGTAGATAAGCAGAACGAAGCCGGTAGTATTCTCCCCCTGTTGCTATGCGAGGAAGTGGAGTTGCTCAAGGGTTGAAGACTTGGTATCCGGCTACCAATTTGACACCAGAAGGAGGATTATTCAAAGCGATCAATGCTTGCGGCTGAGTTACACAGCGAAAGTAACGGCTACTGCCGTCTAAAATTGCTACAAACGAGCTGACTACCAAATTGACTAACAGTTGGACAAGCTCAAAGTCTTCTAACCAGCGTTTGTATCAAATGGCGTATGTTTGACCAGCTGTACTAACACCACCTATATCCATCCTAACATACAAACCTGCCGCCAACCGCCAACGTCGTCCTCGCCGTCGTCTATCAACTTTCAACTTGCTCCTTCGTCTTCATCTAAACCGCAGGCAACTTCCGCATTACTCAGCATGCTCACGTGTCTCTTCCGGATTATTAATGATCCGCCGGAGCTTGCCCAAAGCGGCTTCGGCCTTTTTGTTCGACCTCGAAGTGAATCTTTTGGTGTTTTTGGCGATAAATATAAAAAGACGAGAAAGCCGCCGCGGAGCGCGAGACATGCAGCGGGCTGCTCTGATTGATATCAAGGCCTGAAATGAGTTACAAGTGGCGGACGCTGTGATCTTTCTCTCTCACATGTTCCGAAGAGCTTCGACTCTCACACTTCTCCACTACGCGCTGCAACGTCAACTGGCAGCCAGCAGGTCTTGGGCCTTTTTAATTCGAGTAAGCTTCGTTCGTCCCCTCCCCCGTATTAGCTGGTTGGGCATCTTGGGAGCACAGCTGTATGATGTCGTTGCCATAGACCTCCTTCTTAAACTGCCTGGTCGATACACAAAGTTACCGGCTATCATTTGAAGGTTCATCCTCTGACGCAATACTAACGGGTATGTCCCTCTAGATACGACAGCCACGCCCACTACCGCAACAACCAAATTTGATATGAGCAGAAATGCGCCTTCTCACCCGCACTACAGTATGACGCAGGAGGTAGACAGAACCCCTGGCTCAGGCCAGAGCAAAACGGTCCGAGTTTCCTTCGAGGCTACTGCCGACCCGCAAGATTCCAGCCCGGTCATCCAACCTTCTGCATCAAGCGGCGGAGGGCACCATAGATCAGCTACCAGCGGCGCCGTCCAGTTCCAAAGCAACTCCAAATCAACTGATGATGCCGGGGAGGGCTCGCATTCCTCTGCAAACGAATCACGGCCGCGCCCGGGGCCTAGTATGAACGGCAATAGACGCAAACCTGCTTTGATTAGAGCAAAGAGTGAACATTGGCATGACCTGGGTCCGGATGTCAGGGCTTTGGGAGGCGAGGAAGAAGATGTCCAGCTCCGTCATGGCTGGCAGGAGGAATACACCTCGAGCGAATATTTGAAGATCTTGAACTCCGTGAGTAGAGCGCCTGGCTTTTTCATTTTGTTGCGCTTCTTCGTACTGACCGTTTTATTCTTTTGCAGAGCTTTTACATGTATTTTACTGAGAAAAGACATGATACCAATGGCATCCCGAAGCAGCCGGACGAGGTCTGGAGAAGCCAAGATTGGCGCATGAGAGATAGACTGAAGACTGTCTCCGCTGCACTTGCTATCTGCCTGAACATTGGAGTAGATCCACCAGATGTAGTCAAAACGAACCCCTCGGCTAAACTCGAATGCTGGGTAGACCCAACCTCCACGACGGGAGCGCAGAATAAGGTTATGGAACAAATCGGAAAAAAGCTACAGGAGCAATACGAAACCCTCAGTCTACGCACACGATACAAGCAGTACTTGGATCCGTCCGTAGAGGAAACGAAGAAGTTCTGCATCTCTCTTCGACGCAATGCAAAGGATGAAAGGGTTCTCTTTCATTACAACGGTCACGGAGTTCCGCTGCCCACGCCTTCTGGCGAAATCTGGGTGTTCAACAAGAATTACACTCAATATATCCCTGTCTCCCTTTACGACCTGCAGACATGGCTTGCTGGTCCCAGCTTGTTTGTATTCGATGTTTCTCATGCCGGTAACATTGTTCAGAACTTCCATGCCTTTCTTGAAAAGCATGAAAAGGAGAACGCAGAAGCTCGTAAGAGAGATCCCATTGCATCGCTCCAAAACTACGGTGACTGCATTCTTCTTGCTGCTTGTGAGAAGAACGAAACCCTACCCACAAACCCTGACCTCCCGGCAGATCTGTTCACCTGCTGTCTTACAACCCCTATCGAGATAGCCTTGAGATACTTTGTGCTTCAAAATCCTCTGCAGACGAGCCTTTCTGTGGATGAGTTTAGGGTCCCGGGTCGCCTGCAAGATAGACGAAGTCCGTTGGGTGAGCTTAATTGGATATTCACGGCAATTACAGATACCATAGCTTGGAACACTCTTCCTCGCCCCTTATTTAAGAAGCTCTTCCGACAAGATCTCATGGTTGCTGCTTTGTTCCGAAATTTCCTGCTGAGTGAACGAATCATGAGAACTCACGAATGTCACCCAATATCCTCACCAAAACTGCCTATTACCCACACTCACCCATTGTGGCAAAGCTGGGATTTGGCTGTTGAGATGGTCCTTGCTCAACTTCCAGCTCTCATTGAACAAGAAGAGGGCACTAGACACTACGAATACCAGCATTCTCCATTCTTCGCTGAGCAACTCACGGCATTTGAAGTCTACCTCTCGTCCGGGCCTACGGAAAAGAACCCACCAGATCAACTTCCTATCGTCCTCCAGGTTCTGCTTAGTCAAGCTCATCGATTACGGGCCTTGATTCTCTTGAGTGGATTCCTCGATCTCGGCCCTTGGGCTGTTCACCTCGCTCTTAGCATTGGTATTTTCCCTTATGTTGTCAAACTACTCCAAAGTGCTGCCCAGGAGCTTAAACCTGTCATGGTCTTCATCTGGGCTAGGATAATGGCGGTTGATCATACCGTACAGAATGATCTCCTGAAAGACAATGGCATTCACTACTTTATCACCATTCTCCACCCTAATTCCCCCATACCCGTTGCGAATGTCAGCGACCACAGAGCGATGTGTGCATTTATTGTTGCTATTTTCTGCAAACAATACCCTCAGGGGCAACATGTTTGTCTATCTCCGGAACTAATTGAGGCATGCTTAACTCACTTATTGGATACCGAAAACCCCTTACTACGACAGTGGTCATGCTTATGCCTAAGTATGCTTTGGAATGACTTCCCAGAGGCAAAATGGATGGGAATTCGTGCCTCTGCACCGCCCAAGCTCTGTGAACTCGCCGCCGACCCTGTTCCAGAAGTTAGAGCCGCAATGCTCCATGCTCTAACTAGCTTCATTGGCATCCCAGATCTTACTGATCAGGTAGCCCAAATCGAAGAGTATCTTGCAATGGCAGTGCTCCCAATGGGCTCTGATGGTAGCGTTCTTGTGCGAAAGGAGTTCCTGGTTTTCGTATCCACTTTTGTTAAGAGGTATCAAAACAAATTCATAGTTTCTGCGTATGAGCAGCTACTGGAGGAGAAGCAGGTTCTAACAACCCAACCTGTCGGCTCTCCGTTGATGTCGCCTCCCCAACCATCCGAGAACGGTGTTTCTCACGGTACAGTGATCGGTTCGATTTGGAAGCTAGTTCTTATATTATCCGTCGATCCCCATCCAGATGTCGCGCAGGACGGCGGTATAATCGTTGATTTTGTGCACAAAGCACTTTTAGAATCGCCCATGGGTACTCTGGCTAGGAAAGCAAGAGAGGACATCCTTGAACTATACACACGTGCTCAGTCAAAGAGAACACAGCAGCTGGAATCCATCGATAACGCTAGGCCAAAGACCCCTCCGAGCCAGCAAGCGCCTAAGCCTGAAGGGTATCTCTCCCTAAGCTTAAGGAGGACAGCCAGTGTTGCTGCATCCTTGAAAAACATGGCTTTCGGCTCTTCATCGAATAGTCCACAACCTCCAGGCTCTCCCAACTCCGCCGCATTTGCCAAACCCCAAGTGCCTAAAAGCCGTGTTACGGTTACACCCAGGGGTCGCGCACCTGCTGAGTGGACCAGGCCTCCGGAGGTTAATGACCAGCGTGCCTCTGCGAGATCATACCAGCAAGCACCTACGCCATCTTCTAGGGGATTTAAACCGAGAGATATGAAAGAAGATCCAGTTATTCCATTGGTTAGTCGGTTCTTAGATTGGTCAACAGAGGTACGTATTACTGTGAGCCCGTTAAATTGTTTGAGGAACCGCTAACATTTTGACTACAGTACTTCCGAGAGCCCCAAATGAAACCCAATGAGCCTGATGAGCCCGGTAGTTCAGATTATAATGAACGTCTCTGGCGGCGAGGCAGGAATGAAAGAATCATCGTTGAGACGCAGCCAATGAAGGCTAGAGCTGGAAGTACTCGCTGGGATAACTCTGTTTCTCTCATAAACAACTCGACCCAGCCAATGAAGATGTGCTTCCATCAATTCGAGGATCATCTTGCAGTGGCTGATGATAGGGATACAATATGGTGAGCTCGTTTGCCTTTCCTTTCCATATATCATTCATAGTTGCTAACAGGTTTAGCATCTGGGATTGGCAATCAAATACATATCTCAACCGATTCTCCAACGGCAACCCTCTAGGGTCAAAGATTAATGAAGTCCGCTTCATCAACGAAGATGACCAGGCTATTTTAATGACTGGCTCCTCCGACGGTGTAATCAAATTATTCCGCAGCTACGAGTCGAGCAAGAATGTCAAAGTCCTCACGGCGTTCCGTGCCCTGCCTGAACTAATCCCCAGCAATAAAAACGCTGGACTAGTCCTCGAATGGCAACAAGGTCAAGGCAAAGCGCTAGTAGCCGGGGATGTGAAGGTTATCCGAGTATGGAATGCAGCAACTGAAGTTTGCACAATGGTATAGACCTTTTTTTTCAACTACTACTACCCTTAGTTATAACTAACAGTCAAATGTAGGATATCTCTGCTCGCTCTGGATCCTGCATCACCTCCTTGACTTCCGATCAAGTAGCAGGCAACATCTTCGTTGCAGGATTTGGCGATGGTGCAGTCCGTGTCTTCGACCAGCGTCTAAAGCCAACTACCGCAATGGTTAAAGTGTGGAGAGAACACAAACAGTGGATTACCAACGTACACATGCAACGAGGCGGCGTGAGAGAACTAGTCTCCGGTAGCCGCAACGGCGAGGTTCGACTCTGGGATCTAAGAATGGATCGCTCTATTGAGTCAACCCAAGCGACTAAAGATACCCTGCGAACCCTTGGTGTTCATGAACACGCCCCTGTTTTCACCATGTATGTCTCTCCCTATCTCACAACCTCCTTGAGCTTTTTCAATCAAGCTAACATGATTCTCATTAGCGGAACCAATCGACGCGAAGTCAAGACGTTCAATGTCGATGGCACTCATCTATCTACCTTTGAGCCTCACAGCAGCTTTTTGCACCATACCCGATCTTCCCCAGTCGTCAGCACAGTATTCCATCCTCATAAAATGCTCCTGGCTTGCTCGACTCTAAATGACAACCATATCAACCTTGTATCCTGCTAATAATCTCTCCCTATTCACACACCTACTGATAGAGCTGTTTCACGCTTCCAGTCCAGCAGTCCAGAGCCCAGTTATTTCACCAACCGCTTCATACTGTTCATAGCCTTTCTATTCTCTTCTCTGGATACTTGACTTTGGGCTTAGCCTACCATTTTATCTTTCTTGCCAGGATCTTTCCTTTTTGTCTTTAACGGCTTGTTTTTCCTTTTTGCCTTTTTACCATGTTTTTCTCCTTAATATGATGGATGGCTCATGAGCACGGATTCCCTTAACGAAAAGAGGCCAGGAGTTGGATTATTTTCCAGCATAATGGGTTTAACTTCCCTCTTATCTTTAAGCTCTTTCTCGATGGTTACATATTCCTTCCTCCTTTCATGGCTTTTGCCCCCTAATTATACGAGTCCAGGCCATGCATTTGGGCATTTGGCGGTTGGACTTGGTGAATCCATTTAAACATGTATTTATTTCAAACGGGAGGTAACCTTATCAATTTAACTATTAATTTAAGTAACTACCTTATTTAAAACCCAGAAACCTCCTAATGAACTGCAAGCTCTAAAAGGCCTTTTTCTCACACACTCTCTCACCTATCTTTTTTTTTTTTTTTGTTTTCTTATTTTTTTTTTTTCAGACTTTGTTTAAAGGACACAACACAGAACAAAAGGAATAAAAATCATGATGAAGCTTCTCTGCACACTGCGTCTTAATTTCTCGTCTCTGGTCCTCTAAAGGGACCTGGCTGGACATCAAAAAGGCTGAAGTTCCCGTCCTTGGATGGCTCACAGCATTCATCAGGGACTGGTCCATATTGAGCGAAATTTTCGGACTGCTCTCTTGCGTCTCCCTCAAGGTAAGACTGGAGATTAACAATGGCCTGGGCAAGCAAAGCGGTATTTTGCTCAGCCGAATCAAAGAGCTCTTTGGGAACAGCTACAGGTGCCTGTGAATTCTCCTGGTAATGCTGGTTTTCCTTCATTATAGTATCCAAACGTTCGCGGAGGCCTTCGTTCCAACGGTAGTCTGCACGGTACCATTTAAGAGTTTCGCTAACACGAGCATTTCGTTCCCCAGCGAGTAGCATGGAGCGCCGTTCGGTACCGATAGGACTTTGTTGCAATGTGCGTGCAGGCGGTAGCACAGGAAGTGGCTTCTCAGCTTCAGAAGTGGTAGCAGCCTCCACCTTCTTGGCTTTCTTTTCGGCTTCTTCAGGAGTATCCACAACCCACGGGACGGGGCGATTAATCCCCACATAATCTCCAGGGTAATAGTTAACATGAGGACGAATCAATCCTGGAGGTGGGAAATTCTTGCGGGCTCCTGATCTGTGGGCTGTGGTGATATTTTTCGTTTCGCTTGGTCCTGGAGTAGCTGATGGGATGACCCCGGCTTTTCGAAGGTTGCTGACATCCCAGGCAGGGCTAGCGAAATTCTCGCCTGTATCGTGCTTAGGCGATGGCGCCCGGGATACAGCCGCGATTTGTGGAGACTCCTTTTCCTGAGCCATAGCAGCTTCACGCTCTTGACGGAATTTTGCAACTCGTGTAATAGCCAAACCTGGAATATTATATTTTGCTGCTAACGCAACTCCTCTAGCGAGATCATCAGGATGTTTCTGAGTGGAATGGTTGTGCGAAGTTCGATGTAGAAGTTGATGGTCGTCAGGACTTAAAGATGCCTTCATAGACTTTCCTGGAGCCAAACTTTGAGGAGCCACCTTAGACGTCGCCGCTTCTCCCTCCCCAGTGATCGCATTCCGAGCAGCTAGTACTTCTGGTTTTGGCCTAGGGGGGGCACCGATAAGGTCAAGATAGTGATCAGCCTGGTTAAAGGTGAGCATCGAAAAGTCGATGTCGAGGGCTTCAGCGGCTGACTTCTCCCCAAGCCGTTCCAGCAACAACTTCTGAACATTGAATTTTTCTTCTTGTTTTGTAGGACTTATGCTATCAGGCCCTGGAATAAACGGCCCTGCTGGGCTTGCAGGTCTCGTCTTGGAAGCAGGGGTGGGCGCTGAGGTCGCAGGAGCCGATACAGTTGCATTTTTTGCGTGCTTCGCGAAATTAATCGGCGGGACTGAACGTGGCATAGACGGCGCAAACGCTGGAGGTGGGTAATGAGAAGAGCCTGGGTCGAGTGAAAAGCTATGCTGTCCCCCATGATGAGTACGTTGAGGGCTGTGACGATGAGGATTGAAGTGAACGGCAAACTCTCCCCCATGTCCATGATGCCCTCCTGTCTCTATCCCAGCCAGATTCTGCAACGGATGAGCTGCCAGTGCTGGGTTGATCGCAGTGACCATTCTATGATTCGATCTCGTTCCCGGAATCCCATGGTTATGGTAATAAAATTCCATCTCTGCAGTATTTCCTCCTCCCAAGCCGCCGGTTCCCTGCGAGGTTGTAACGTTTGATTTGCTCGTAAGAGTAGCTAATGCTGCATGGGAGGCGGGACGCGAAGGAACTGTGTGGCTGGTCTCGCGAAGCTCGTTGCTAACGTGCCTTGAATGTTCGTGGGTTGGCTGATTTTGTTCTGGTCCTTGAGAATGAAGCCCAAGGGTTGACGCGCCTCCGTAAAAAGGCCGATTATGTTGTTGGTGGTGAGAGGGGCCTTTAGGCGATGCCACCACGCTAGCAGCAAAGCCCTCTGCTGGCCCAGCGGGCTGGGAATTACCATAGGTGTTATTGGTAGCAGGCACAGCAAGTACAAGGCGTGAAGCTGCATCATAAGTAATTGGTTGCTGGGGTCTAAAGGTATTTTCCACGTAAGAATGGTGGTGGGTGTGAGTGTGAGTAACTGAGGGATCAGAGCCCATTTTATCCCTAATCACTGAAGCATATTTAGCATTATCCCCTGGATACCCAGCTAAACTGCTCTGAGGCCCAGTATAGTGAGGTGGTGGCCCTTGTAGTGTTGGAATAAAGTTGTTATTCTCCATCTCCTCTGGCATATCAAAAGGAAAAGGAGGAAACGGGATCGTGCTTGTACTCTCTCCTCCACAGCCCTTTGAAGACTGGTCAAATCTACATGGGTTCATGGCTGCACTTCTGACTTTTACCTTGATGCTGGTATTTGCCGGTAAAAGCAAGCCAAAGTCCGAGCCAATATCTGTCCCACTCTTTATCACTTCTAGCCTAGATGTGTAGATCACGCGTTAGTACTAGCACAAATATCTTTGTCTCTATATCTCAGAGCAAGTCTCTCGCCTGTACTAGCAGTAACAGTAGAAGGGAAAGTAAAAAGAAATACTCGGCAATACTCACAGTGTCTTCTTTTATACCCTTGGTAGTGTGGTTATAAGACCTAACCTGAATACCGGGGAGAGAGGCAGAGGTCCAGTCAAAGAGTGAAGTGGACAAATGCCATAAAGGAGGAAGTAGAAAGTGAAGCAGAAGATGGAAATAATAACAGAAGAGGACAGCAGAGTGCACGGGCCATGTTCTCTTACCTACTGCCCAAAATAGAAAGAAGGACATCCCAGTCACGTGGTTAAAGAAGAGGTCGATAGCAGTGAAAAAGCAGATAATAAGTAAAGATATATAGGAGATACATATATAAATATAGACAATATATATGTAGATGTGTATAGTCGAGGGTACTGAAAAGGATGGACTTTCATCCCAACTTTGGAAGATATAGGTATATGTATCGACGAGTGCCAAAAACCAGCCTCAAGAGGAAACATTTCCATGGGGAATGCATAGTGTGTAGTAAGCATACTACTATAGAGTAAGATAGTTCTGATATAGAACTATGGTTCAGGAGTCTCTGGGTATCTTTATTTTTAATCCTTTTTTTCCAACTCTACAGTAGTCAAAATCACACCAGCATCATGACAGCACCAGGCATATAGACGTCAGCTAACACGGCCGTTCCATCTAATGATGGCCTCTTCCTCCTTCAATTTCCCACAAAATATCAGCTACTCTTCCTATCAAACTGCGCGATGCGATGCGAGGTTGAAATAAAGATGAGATTTATCTCCACATGACTATCACGTGATGTTGATCTCGTAGGATTATATAAGCCACGAGGGACAGGGATGGAAGTGGCCTTCTTCAATGTATATACATAGAAATAAGGCTGAATGTATACTAACTAGGTATCTAGTGGCTTTTTTGGTGGCCAAGAGAGAATATTACATTAAGTATATGTAGCTCTTCAATTAGTAAGGAGGTTGTCTCCGCGAAAGGTTGTTTATTGTGAGGATGCCATCTTTCATGGCAGCCTTGGCCTTGGAATAGCTCGCAGATCCATGTATCATTGACACCTGTTTTAGGGGATCCGCATGCCATGATCCTTACAGGCAAGGTATCTTCCTATCTTGGAGACCCCCTTTACTCTTAGTAGTACTCCGTACGCCTGGTATTTTGTTGCGTATACTGCAGTGTCTCAGGCAATAGAATAGGGATTCGGCAACACGTATTGAATATAGTGATCCCGGAGCAATTCCTCAATTCCTCGACAGGCAGAGTTACTCACCCATCTCCCCTAATGTTTGAAAATACTGATAAGCCATTGGAGACCAAGATGATATTGGGTGATATCTCGGCCCGCGGCCCAGTGGTAACAACGGCAAAGGCAGCCTACTCCATAAAACAACATCGCTAGCCTGTTATTGCAGGTGTCTGTTTAATATTTTGGTATTCAACTAGGGAATAAATCGGGAACTTGGGACAGTCAGACTTACCTGTCTCAATGACAAGAAATATGGGTTCCATCGATGTCAGGGAGTTGGAACATCGAGTACAAGGCGAATCGATTTCCTGTCAAAAGACCTGAGATGCCAGGAAACAGCCCATTCGCCGTCTCAAGCTGTATCATCCGCGGCAATGCAAGCTTTGAAGGTTAAGAGTTGATTTTCCTTTCGTCTTGGGATTACTAAATATAATCCAAGGTTGCGTGGACGGCGTTTAGTTTTGCTGGCTCAGGTAACCGCCTCGGTAGTTAGTGAAAGCAATGCTAAACCCTGGTTTAATTAGTTAACCGCCACTCGGTGCCTGGAAATTATTAGCTAGTAGCATAGCTTCTTTTACTGAGTAAGAATATTGTACTCTGTATAGCTAAGTAAGTTAGCACGTACCACTTTTCTGCGTGTTTTTTATATAAGTTTGTCACAAAAAACGAACTTTGAGCTTATGTATGTACCGGCTATCGTCCACCGTACTAGACTTAAACACTAATTAGCGAAGTGGATAAATCGTTTCGGCTCTGTGGCCTAGAGCACTTTTCTACTCACCCCTTCACTGCGCCTCGAGTATTACGAAGCTGCCGACGATGCCAAATTGACGAGGAAAGGCCTGTCGGCTTGCTCTCTATACAAGAGGCTTCGCCGCACGCGTAAGACTCGACCGATTGCGTACGTACTCTCGCCTAAATAACAGCCCCTTATTAGAGCTGGTTGAAAGGCTGGCCATATCGTCTACATTACCTAGGGGGAGTTTTATCACGCAACTTTTGTTGGTGATTCCGCCTCGCCCACGCCACAATTGTGTCATCAAATCTGCGTATAGGTATTACCGGGGTCACGGGATATTAACCAGGGCGAGGTACATCTCCGTTTCAAAAGAGTCCAAGGAGCAAAGAGATCCCGGCATTTGTTACCTAGCTCGCGGCAAAAGAGGACCTGCGCCAATCACTCCTCCTGCAACATTTGTTTTTGCGGTTCACCCTTGCCATGATTCGCACGGAGGCCCTTGTAAAGTTCGAGTTGAGCTGTGCACCTTCACCAACAACGACGCTCCTCAACCTGGCCATTTTCCCTGCCGCGGGGCTTTGGGCTCTTCTTCAGCTGGCCCAATACGTAGCCTGCAGCCAGACGAAGTGATAACGGAGAGTCGTGGTCATCTGCCAACAGTTACAGTTGTAGCTTGTTGCTCGCTACGGCGTACTCTGTGCCAGGCAAGCAGCGTTAGTCACCTGGGTAGCACTGAGTGATAACCAGTTAATGTACTCCGTAGAGAGTATTGGCCAAACCGAGAGTACTCCGTAGTGATATCACAATCGGTATAAACGCCCTTTCTTCACCGCTCGGCCCTGTGCCATCTTTCCACAATGTGTCGCTGCCGTTGCTGCTGCTGGCTGCCTGAATGTATTTCATCCCGGCCTGCATGTGCGAGAGAACCACGGCCGTCCAGAGTTTCGTCGTCGTCTGCTTCCTATCGTCTCGCTCCCTGCGTCTTCTTGCTTTTCTCCTACCGAAAAAGAAAAGACGAAAGCGATAAAGCTTAATCAGTGTCATGTGACTGCCAAGCCCTCTCATGACGATTTGCTTGATGGGAACTTTTTTGATGCTTTTCTTATTCTTCGACTTCGTCTGCTTTTCTTTGCTTTCTCATGGCCCGCCATCCCTTTCGACGTCACGACGAACTGTCGAGAAGCCTGATAGTATCACCGTGGGCTGTTTCGCCATTTAACAAGTGGCCAGCTTGGCCTCGAGGTGAAGTCAGGTCTCATCCACTTGTTTCTTGAGCTGCCTGCCCCCTTATCAGACCACAAAGGGTCGGGTCACCCGCACCACCACTACCACCGTGAACCACCGCCATACTACGATTACGAAGCAACGGCACCCCGTACATAGAAAGCATCTAGAAGCTGCCTGGAATGATGCGACCTCCACAGCTCATCCTCCTCCTTGTCTGTCTGGTGTTTGTTCCTCTCTTCATTACCACCGTGGTCCGGCAGACTGCGAGCCCGGAGAATGCCGCCACATCAGAATACAGGAGAAGCTACAGCAGTAAAGCTGGCCGCTTACGAGACCTCTTCTTCCATGCGCCCTCATCACTATTCCCGCCTTCTGCGCTTATAAGCTTAACCGATGACAACTCGACCTTCTTCCTGGCCCGTCCTGCTGCGTTTGGGCCCCCCCTACCGTCGTCCGGCCTCGATGGACAGCTGTGGATTGGGAGCGGCTTCGGAGATGATGTTAGCAAGAAGGGAGGGATAACGACAAAAGCTGAAGGCGAACTTGGATGCTCTGATGTTCCTGGGTGGCAAGAAGGTGATAGAACTGCACAGTCAGGGTCAGGGGGACGTCTTGGTACGGATAAAACAACAACACAAGTCAAACCAGGCATCAGAGTCGGTGAAGATCCAGCTATAAATATCCAGAAGGGAACCAACACGGTTTCACCCGAAGACAATCTCAAAAATAGTGGCTCACCAACGAAAAATGACGGAACTGATGACCATCTTCACCGTTCGTTGGGTGACTCCTTATCACCTAGCTTTAATGATGCCAAGGGAAAAAACAAGCAACCGACACATGCGGATATCCAGTCATTACAGGAGAGTGCAGAGATCTCAGGGAAAATTGTTCTACTAAGTCGTGGTGGCTGTGGCTTTTTGGAGAAAACAAAATGGGTCCAGCGCAGAGGAGGCATAGCCCTTATAGTTGGTGACAATGAAAGCGGTGGGGGCCTGGTTACAATGTACGCGCACGGCGATACATCAAATGTAACTATTCCGGCCGTTTTCACTTCCCACACCACTGCACATCTATTGTCCTCTCTGATACCCTCCGATAAGGGTCAAGGACCCAACTCCCCAGGGAACAAATTAAAGGCGCCCAATAGTGGCAATCAAAATAAGAAGACGAGCAGCAGTGTTGGCAAAACGAGTATAGTTGCCCCTCCTTCGAAATCTACAAAACCCACGCAATCAAAAGCCAAGGATACGCCATCTTCGGACGGAGGTTTCTTTTCATCGATTTTCAGCTTTTGGAACGATAAATCGGTACACGAGGATAGTAGTCGGCCGCCCAGCAGTGGGAACATCGACTGGATCTCGCAAAATCGAAAGCCAGATTCTCAGACTCCACCTAAACCAGGGCAGGGCTCAAACCGTCAGGACAAAGAGAAAGGAACGGCCCCTGTGCAGGCCAAACCAGACCCCCATCAGAATCGTGAGGACGACTTCGTTATCGGAGTCCAGGACTGGCGTGATCCTGACCTTATCGTTAAACCCACAACAACAACAACTAGCAAGCCGCAACCGACCAGCCAGAATGGTAATTCAAATAGCAAAGACGGTTCAGGCACCGATACGAAAGGTTTCAAGGGTGGAAGCATTACTCCCGGCAGCGGAGAATATGCCCATCAAGATAAATTCACCCAGGTTAAAGGTGGTTCGAATGGCTCTCATAAGCAGTCATTAAATTCGCAATCAGGGTCCGGAAATACTGGAAAGAAGGGTCATTGGTGGACGCGCATTTTTGGCTGGGGAGAAGCAAGCGATGACAAGAATACTGCATTCTCAAATGGGCATATAGGTATTCAAAACGGCCGAGGATCACATAACGATCACGGCCATCATGGGGACAAGGAGCCAGAGAAACACGAAGGCTTATGGGTTACCTTAGCTCCAACCAGCATGTCTACCAGTCCATTCTTTGATACCCTCCTTGTTCTGGTCGTGAGCCCCTTGATAACACTCACTGTCGTTTACGCACTCCTCCTACTTCGTTCTAGAATCCGACGACGACGATGGAGAGCCCCCAAAGCCATCGTTGATCAACTTCCCGTTCGAACCTACCATACAATTACCAGCAGCTCCAATTCAAGCACACCGCCCCGTACAGCAGTGCCAGACTCTGCGTCTCCTTCATCTCCTCTCCTTGCACGCTCGGAATCTCGAGCTCAGTTCTCCACCAATGCAGGTGCTGCAGCATCAAGTTCATTACCTAACATGATGGGTTTTTCGGGCAGCGCCGAGAAATCAAATGCCGGATCGACATTGTGGCGGCGGAAATACACTGGCCGGCAAGTGGAATGTGTTGTATGCCTCGAAGAGTATGTTGATGGACAAAGTAAGGTCATGAGCTTACCTTGTGGGCACGAGTTCCACGCTGAGTGCATGTAAGTCTTCCCGGTTTACACGAAAACACCCTGATATATGATATCGGAACTCAGCTAACAGAGCTATTCAGAACACCATGGTTGACAACAAGACGGCGTACATGTCCAATATGCAAAGGCGATGTTGTCCGATCGCTCGGAAACCAAGGGCCCAACGACTACGGTTCCGCTAGCCTGGATCCTTCACCTAGCTTTGATCAAGCAAGGGCTGTTGAAGATCACAGTGGATTCCCTTCATCCGCCATCCCTATTCCCGAGCATGAGAACGCCGATTCTGAATTGGAGCGAGGTGCCCTACTCGGAGACGCCCTCAACGCATCTCACCGATCCACCTGGAGAGGCCTTACGTCCTTGAGTCTATCTGCCTTAAGCGGCGATTCAATGTGGCACCAAGTTCGGCACACACGATCTCAACGGAACCGCTGATCTGTCTCACTTTCATATCCCTTCGCTCATACCCACCTTTAGGATACAAATGTTTTCTTCTCACCTCAGTTCCTAATTCTTCGCTTTCCTTTGTATATCATATGCCTCCACTTATACCCCGTCGAGCTATCATCGAATTATTTTTTTGCTTGCCCTATGATTCTCCTCTCCCTCGATCCCATCTCGATCTTCCTTTTTTCAACTTAGCCTACTTCTACCCCTTCTTGCATCGATTGGTTTTTTATGAGTTCTTGGAGACCAACGAGAACTTTAGGCGTTTTGAGAGCAAATTGAAACTGAAATATAAACAACAGCAGGACTGCTTTCCTTTGACAGGACAATCCTAATGAAGAGGTGGAAGTGAAAGAGGCATCATGGTAACCAAAGCAAAGACAGCCTTTGGTACATGTCCATCCCTATCCTCAGATAACTACTAGTATATGAATGTCTACTCTGTTTTTCCTACGAGAGCCATCGTGCTCATCGTTCTCTTGATCTTGATCTTACTGGGACTTCCATCTGATCCATGGATAACATTCTGGTTTATCTAATAACTAGTTAGCATCACGTGAGCGGGTATGTCGTCATAGTTGATAGTTAAAACTCCAACACAAACAACTTGGAAACAACATGTTATAACTGCGCCATCTACGCCATCAAGCGCCAGATCAACATCCACGCTCTGATTTCGTTGAATTTCCCGACAACCTAGTATACCACGACAACATGGATCGAATAAAGCGTATGGCTCAGGAGGAACTGCGCAATTTCCTGGCGCTGGCTAAAGATGGCTTGCGGTCTGGCGCATACATCTACCCTTTCCAGGTAGATCATATCATACAGCCCACCTCAATACAAAGGAAAACAAACTAACATAGAGAACCACTTGACATTAAATACAGGGCATCGCCTACTTCTTATCTCACCCATCTCTATACAAGCCAATGCTATCCAAACTCGCACCAACATTATCACTAACCCTCGCTGTGACCGGAGCCATGTTCTTCTTCACATATATACCCCAAGCAGCGATACTAGCTCTAACATCCGGCCCCCTCATAGCACCATTCTCAGCAGCACTGTTAGTCCTTAGTGAAAGCTCGACTATAATATCCTACCTCGCAAAATCAGGATATATATTCGACCAAGATACCCTGCTCAACCTGTTTGACGGAACACTACTTGCATGCGGCAACACACAATTGGTAGCCAAGGACCGCAAAATAAAACCAGCTTCTGATCCAATGGCGCGGCTGGGGCATTTTATCAAGAAAGGCGGTGGTTCGCTGATGAATGCAATGAGCTTGTCGAATGCGTTTAGATCGCTGTTGTACTTGCCGCTCAATTTCATACCGGTTGTGGGGACATTGATGTACATTGGGGCCCAGGGGACGAGAATTGGACCCATGCTACATGCTAGATATTTTTATCTGAAGGGATGGGGTGCGAAGGAACGGGATGAATGGCTTGGTAGGAATAGAGGTGCATATGCAAGGTGAGTTGTACTGCATCCTACTACTTCCGAAAAGTCAAATTTGCTCATAATTAATAGCTTCGGTGCTACCGCCTTTGTGCTGGAGATGATACCCTTCGCATCTCTGTTTTTCACGTATACAAACACCGTTGGAGCCGCTCTCTGGGCCGCCAGAATCGAGAAAACTTTTGCCAGCCCTAGCCTCCGTGGAGCCACTGAAATGAAATCGATGTGACACTGAGTTCATAAATGTTAACTGCCAGAAATTTTGCCTCACATTTAGGACTTGGAAGCCGTATCGGGAATACCGTTTATTGAATCTCAAGTGTTGTGTAACGACTCGACTCGTGTCTGTTCGGTCTCGGTTTCTTACGATTGTCATGATCTTTATCCCGATGTTTACATGAATAACTACGAAAACGGAAACATGGATGCTAAGTTAATTACGTCAATAGGAACAGACTAGGTCCTGGGAATGTAAAAGGTCGACGTCTCCCAGTAAATATATGGATGCAATGTAAAAATAAGCTTGCTTTCAAAGTCCTACACAAACGCAAGTATCTCATACTCCAAGCTGACAAGTTCCTAATAATGGATAAACCCAAACTTCTCTTCAACATCTTGCGTAAGAGCCAATATAACCTTGGGCGATGAAATGATCCTTAGGCAGTTCAACAGAAGGAAGATTCATCGGCATTTACTCAGTTTTCCCAGCTGCCTCATCCTCAGTGTCACAAAAACCTGAAACACAATTTCCAATACCTATAAGGGCGAGACAATAAAATCAGTAGACGTCGAGGGATTTCTATAGCAAATGCAACTTACCGCACCATGCTTTTCCATAGCCACACCATCCGCTAGTACTGCAACAGTTTCCAAATGGCGAGCCTACGCAACGGATATACTTGTTGCAAGTCCCATCTTTGCTGATCATAGTGGAATTGATGGCCCCCGATGGGAGATGGAGTTTGCCACTGGGGTGTGGTTGCTTTTCCTTATCATGCTCATGATTACTATCATCATATGGAATATCCTTGGGTGGCTCTTCGCTAGGCGGCTCATCTACTGGCGGCTCCTCTTCCGGTGCTGTCTGGATTTCAGGGGGGGCTGTGGCTTCGGGTCCACAAGGCGTACATCTCCCCTCATCGTTGCACTGCGTATATCCAGTTAGCAAAAAGAAAAACTCACGCCTTTGAACGGGATCATCTTACACATCTATTTCCAATTACTTTGTTAGCGGTTTGACTAGTAATAGCTTAATTTGACAATGGTCTCCACAACTTACGATCCGAATGGCGATCCATTACAAGTGGCATCTGCATCGTTCTCTCCACAGTTGCCATCTACTGCCATTGGCGCTGGGGATACGGGGGCAACACATATAGCAAAGTTGGCCCACAAATTGTCACAGTTGGGATGAAGCTATATCGCAGTTAGTAGGCAAGCAATATTAGTTATCTATTCAACATGTTTGGAGCATACCTCAGGATTGTATGCCAACAGTTCGTCCATAGTCACTTCGCTATTCAGGGGTCAATCGTTACTCCTTAGATTCCTACAGGGGGCGCCACAGTCCTTACAATTCAGCGGAGATAGAATCACACTGTAGTTTATACATGGTTAGCAAGTACTCTCAAAAGCAAAGGTTAGATAAGACATACAGTGTCACCTGTGACTACGTTGTAGTATTTACCACAGGCCACCATTGCACCCAGTTGCGTTGTCCTATCGGTAATTGCTTAGAGAAGATTAGCAAATTTGAACATGTTACTTTCGGAAGGGAAAGATAACGTAGTTTTACCAGGAGTGTAGAATGTTTTTATGGCCCGGGGAACAGGGGTACGTTTCGCAACGGGTGCCTTTGTGATTGTTGCTTCTGGAGGTTTATTATATCTAAACACGGTCGACTCGTCAAGCCGGTAGCCTGTAGACGGCGGCACAGTATCTTTAGCCCCTAATACCACAGTTGGCGCTGGTGTTATCGATGGCAGGTTTGTTGAACAGGCAGCCTCTAACTTGCTAAACTGCTTGGTGAAGTGATCCAAAAGATTGCCTTGAGGGAAGACGGGGGATTCGATCCGCTGTTTCCAAAGCAGCATAAAGCACTCGCTGCAGTACTAGATATTGTAAATCAGTATATGAAAAAGGAATTTATATCACAAGTTGAAAAGCATACCAGTTCTTTATCATATGCATTGGTCACATATAGGGTATCCGCATCCTCAGAATTCACTATGTCACAATCGGCTGGTGGATTTTCACTACTGCAAGCATCTGGCTGTTTCTTATCCCAACTAGAAAATCGTCAGCGTAGAAGACGAATCGAGCATAGACGGAATAATGACCTTGTATACACGCCACTGTCCCAGTCCTGTGCTTCGTAGAAACACCAGTTGTCGTTGCTAATTTCCGATTAGCATATCATTTGGATGTAAAGAGACAACGGGGCTGTACCTATCTCGCAGACAGGCCAGGTCGTAGCCAGATATGTATTTCAACGGAAACGCTTTTGGATCAACAACGAGCCCATTAATAGTTACCTCTTCGCCGTCACAGTTTTGCTCGACAACCTCGAGCCAGGTAGATAAGGATTTTGAGCAGCCATCAGTGCAGAGAGTCGTCAGGTCGTCCATTGACCAAGCCACTATAGGCAATAGAGTCAGTAATCCAGATATAGAAGCAGAGGAAGAAGCTTCCAACGTACAGTCACTATCAGAATTCTTGGTGGCTCTGACAGCATTGGGGCCATCACACTCGACGGTATAGTTTCTATACGAGATAAGTTAGAATTTCAAGGATATTGAGGAGTTAAGGGGTATAAGTACAGAGCCGAAAGACACTCCGATGTTACACCAAGCGATGCCTTGAGTGCATCCTGATCGTGTAATGCGTAGACATTGAATGCTGCAATGGCGGGAGATGCCAGAGCCAGAAAGCCTCCGAGAGATTTCAGCTGTCCCATTTTGGGAACCGATATGAAGTAAGGGGAAGACAGGATAACGTATTGAGTAAAGCGATATGATCGTGATTAATTGATAGACACTATCGTATGCTGTATGACGGTATGAGTTGATAGAGAAGTAGACAATAACAGCAGAACAGCAGGCATGTCATGGATGCCGGGTTTGTAAGTATAGGTAGACATAACAGAGGGAGAAAGTAATAAACAAATAACCCGGGAAGGGGCAAGAAGGAGAAGAAGAAGAAGAAGAAGAAGGAAAGTGAGAGCCGTCGACAAAGCAAGGACGACTCTATGGGTATCAAAACAAACAGCCAGAACAGAGCAAGTACATTTCTTGACATTATTCCAGGCAGGAGAGGGAAAGAAGTATTTGGGAAAAAGGGGTAAGTGTCGAGCTTGGTATAAACGCCGGTAAATGCGGAAGAGACAACAAAAGAAAAGACAAGGAGAGAAGGGACATCAACAATAACATCATACAGTCAGCCCAATAAGAAAAATACCTCCATGTATATGGATCATGGGGGGTATTCAATACGTCGTTAGGGTCATCTCATTTGCGGCCGAGGAGAGCAGAGAACACAAACAGACTCGGCTACAGTGGCGGAGGGATAGGCATGGTGCTGGCATCAAATTCCCACGCACCAATCCTAGCCTTCTTGTCCTTGTAGAGCTGCCACGGCGTGAGACAAGCTTCGAGACGGCTGACCCATCGACCGCTGTTGGCCTTGCTGCCCATCCAGGTAACGTTGGACGAGTTGTATGCCTTGGTGACGGAGCTCCTGCGCATGGATTCGTATATATCGAAGGCGTCCTTGACGGGCCGGTGGTAGTAGAGTGAGAGTATGCGGGAGAACAGGATGGCGTCGTCCAGGGCATACGCCGCAGATTCGTCTCTGGGAGGCATCTATAAAAAGCGAGTCAGCAAAACCAGTCTGATACTATATACCATTGAAAGCATAAGAAAGAAAGGAAGAAAAGACGAGTCACGCACAGCATGGGCAGCGTCTCCTAGTAGCAGAGTCCGGTCTGTATGCCACTTCCTGTCCGGAGGCAGATGGTAGACCGGGTAGAGGGCCCAGTTGGTCGACTTCTCGATGATCTCGCGCACGCAGGGTATGGCACAGTCGCCAAACCGGCTGCAGATCTCGTCTCTCAGGCGCTCTGAGGTCGTCCGTCGGTGTCTGTTCGGGTTGCGGCTGCGGTAGCCGGAGTCACTAGATATCTCAGCAGCGTCGACCTCTGCCAGCGCGGCCACGAAGATCTCCTCCTTGGTGCTGTGGCAGTAGGTCGTCAGCAGCCCGCCGTGCCGCGCCCTGTTCATCGCTGTGGTCTCAAAGTGGATGGGCGAGGTGATGCGGTCCGTCTTGATGGTCGTCTGGATGAAGCAGACGCCCGTGTACTCGGACAGCGTGGACGGGTCGACGAGGCGCATCCGCGTAGGCGAGTGGACGCCATCGCAGCCCAGCGCCAGGTCGCCAACCGCGCTCGAGCCGTCCTCGAAGAAGATGGTCACTGTCTCGCCGGACTCGATGCCGTCGATGACCTTCTTGCCGAACTCGACTTCGATGTTGCTGGCCTTCTCAGCGGCCGCCAGCAGCGCCAGGTGGAGGGATATCCGCATCACTCGCCTGGCCTTGTATCCGCCGTACCCTTTGCCGTCCTTGCCAGCAAAGTCGACACGGCCCAGCCGCCGTCCGGAGTGGATTGAAAACAGCTCTACCGTCTTGACCTCGACGCCCCCGTCGGCCCCCATCTTGTCGAGCTCCTCCAGCACACCCAGGTGGTCGAGATGTCTCTGGGCGGCCGGGTTCAGGTTGATGGCACCGCCAGACGTCGACGGCACATTGTGAAGCTCGAAGATGGTTATCTTAAGGCCCGGCACCTTTGGCGAGAGCTCCCTGGACAGAGCAAGGGCAGAAGCTATGCCAGCTATGCCGCCACCCAGGACGAGGATATTGCGCGGCGGTCCCATGGGTCCGGAGAGAGGGAGCAAGAGAGAGACAGAAGGGGAGAATGAATGCAATTACAGCTAATTATCAACAACAGCTTCACGAGACAACAGATTGGTTAAACAATTCGAGAATGCAGGACCAGAATGATAGTTACACCTAGCCCGGGACTCTCTCTCTCCATCCATTTTGCTCCCTTCCCCCCTTGCGCCAGGGCTGTGGGAGGGTACATTTATATGTATAACATTGACTACTCGGAAACCCTCCTTGAACTCCAACCGACAAGGATGCCTCAGAAGAAGCAACGAGACGAAGAAAAGCAAAGAAAAGTCCCTTTCGACGCCAAGGGTAGGGAAATGGATGAACGAGCCCGGAAGCTTCTTTGATGTTTACTTTTTTCTCCCTTCTTTTCTTCTTCCGGCTGGCTCTCTGATGAAGGACGGGGAGAAAGATCGATACACAGTCCAATCAATCAATCAATCCACTATCTCGCCGGACTTTTAGCCAGCGAGATCGTCCACCGCAAGTCGAGTTTTCAAGCCAGCCGGCTGTCACTTGCGCATCCATCCTGCTCAGCATCTTCCGGTGTCTTTGTCTTCTCTTCCAAATTGGCGGAGTTGTGGGGTTATACGGAGTACGGGATCGCTCTGTTGCCCCTGGTTCTTCAGCTTTTCAGCACTTTATTATACTAGGGCTGCATCCGTTAGTTTACCCTAACTAAAGGCCAAACGGGCTTCCACACTCAAAGACAGAGATTTTCTTCAGTAGCCGGCCAGGATCAGAACAAACTGAACATATTGATCTATGACATTACGCTACGGATCTGAAACGGAAAGTCGACTGGAAAAAAAGAACTCTTGGACGCCGTTTCCCAGGGCTGGAGAGAAAGGAACAAGGGCAGCAGGGGATATTCTAGATGCCTATAACTGCTTTGCCGCATGAGCGAGTTAGTTGGCTTAGGTGCCTGGCAACTGCCCTTTTGACAGCTGCGCCGCTTCGTTGATCAGTAACCAGGATCCATCACGCCTTAGCCGACATCTAACTCCGAACGACAGCAAACGACTTTGCTATCTCTTGGGCGGCTCCTCCTTATTTCTACATATACTCTATACGTCGGCATCTCCACCCCTCGTATGCAGTTCGCCCAGAAAATTAGGTGTCCCCAGTGATGATCGTGTCATCTTCTTCGTGGTTCTAGCTGCCCGTATCCAACTGTTGGCCCATCAGCCCTAGCTTCCCCGGCCCTTTATGCTTCAGTAGTCGGAAAATTTCCATATTTTATTTTTCCTGACATGTAGCAGCGAGATTGGGATATCACCTTCATACAACACTCTGTACTGAGTACTCCGTATGTATAATTACATAGGTACGGAGTAATGTTGGAAACCCCTTACAGAATGCGTGCACACAAGCGGGGTACATTTTATGTTATCAAGCACGTCGTCTCATTTGACTGATAACCAGGGATTCCTTTCCAAACTACCAAAATGGACAATTCTTACGAGTCAAGACTATTACCGTCCCAGATGTAAGTGCAATAACTAGTTGCCGTCTGACTATCAAGTGATATAGTTATTCAACTTTGACTAGGCGGCGCATAATGCTACACCTGCCGCCTCCACTCATGACGCTGTCAGACATACAAGACGCACTACAAGCGGACGACAGTCGACCAGTCGACGCGCACCACCAGCCATGCAGATTCCCCCAGTTTTCGATGCTTCCCCAGGAGCTTCAAAACGAAATATGGCGGCACTCGCTTCCGAGTCCCTTCCTCATTCAAATAAATCTTATTGGAGACGACAACCGACCGTCGACCGTCCATCTCTGGGGCGTCAACCCTCCACAAGCACTGGATATCTGCAGAGAATCTCGCCGAGAAACCCTTTCCGTCTACAAGCCTCAGCTTATGGTGTATAACTGCAGAGTTAATGGAAGGCCGATGCTTTGTCTCGCCCCAGACACCATCTTTCTAAAACGCGAACTCCCCGAAGAACCGGTTATTTATATATTTTCGAAGAAGAAATCGTCACAACCTATCGATTTTCAACCACACTCGGAGGTCGACTCAATAGTCACAGGGATGAATATTGCAATGGATAGCGTGGAATGTGAAAACTGGCCGCCACAGGAGAATGAACTGCCCCGGAGAAGGCCCGTGTCAATTATTCAGAGCCATCGTCTACGACACCAGCGGCTGATATCTATGTCAAACATGCAGAAGAACTGACTGGATTCATTCTGAAGGTATTCTTTTATTACTATTTCTCATCCAAGGATTTAGAAATATACAACTAGCCACTCCCTTAAATTGATGCTTCAAAGTAGAATCCGTATTGGCTGCGTGGCATTTACGTATTTACAAACCCAAACGAAATTTGAGCTTAACCAACTCTCTGCCGTATCACCTCTGCCAATATAGATACGTCTCTTTTGATATTATTTCTGGCAGGGTCATGGCCTACCTCTTCTGGCTCTTCACAGGCCATGGAACTCTTAACCTCTGGCCCCCCCTGCATGCGGGAATCCCCGCCGGGTAACTAGGAGAACAACCAACGGTCGCAGATTATAGCTGCTGTGCTCTTATAGCTATAACGGCGTTGGATATTTGCCGGGGGGCGAAGAATGATGTGACCGATGGCTCCTCGGAACCCGCAGCGGACCATCATATCATCATCAGTCAATAACGAAAGGGGAGCCGCCTCCCCCGGTTGGTCACGGAAGGCCTGAAACATTCGACGGTGTGTGAAGCAATGAAAAATCAATATTTTGGTAACTCGGTGGCAAGGATCGCTCATATTTTTTTTTGTTATTTATGTATGTACTATCGGCTAACAAGGTTACAGGTCTTATCACGCGGTTGAGTTGGCGTTTCTCGCGACGTCAAAAGGGCGTTAGTTAGTTGGACTCGCTGGGCTAGTTTTATCTATAACTAGGTACTTGTTCAGCTAATCGGGATTCCTGCCTCTGGTTTCTGTTAGCGACGGGGTAGGTGCTTAAGGGGGATCTTTTTACCTAATGCGTGTGAAGAATACGGAGTGCGGATATACGGCAGCTCGACTTACTTACGCACAAGTTAAACAGTTAAGTAGGCCGATGGGTTCGGGATCGGTTCTTGCTAAGAGAACTGACTGACTTGGCCTTGCTTTGCCCAGAAATCAGAGCAAGAGCCCCAGCCCGCAGCAGCCCTTAAAACCTCTAGCTAAGGATTCCACTCTAGCCAATATGATCGGGCATTTTTAGCTGTCAGGGGGTGTGGGGGGCGGACGGAAGCATTATCCAACATGTCTATTCTTTAAGTATGCAAGGCTGTGCGACATATAGGTACTCTGCATGGTGCATTTGATAGACACAGATACTTGACATGAAATGGCAGGTCTAGTTCTGACAGTTCCCGTACGCCCAGAACACCGGCTCGCTTGAGTATATAGTTATATGGTCGAGGGAGTTATCTGTTTGTTTTCTTTTTAAAGGAAGAAGAAAATAAAAGATAAGAATAAAAGAGATTCGTTAGAAATGGGTACAGGGTGTAGTAGATAGAGTAATATTCACAGGAGACGCTTGGACATGTGGCAATAATTACACGGCAACGGATGTATGCCTATGAAGCAACGCCCTCTACCCCAAGCCATGACCAAACTTCAGGGGCAATGAAGGAGCCAAGGTAAAGGCATTTCAAGGAGAATAAAAATGAGAAAAAGAAAAGTAAAAAGGCTCAATGATGGGTTTCCAGCAAAAATGCCCATAGTAGTAAAGCAAAAAAGAGGAAGAAAGGCATTAAGCAAGAGACAAGAACAGGTAAACAAAAAAGAAAGAGAAAAAGACATCACAAGGAAATGAGACTGTGGATGAAAGGAAGGAATGCAGTTGGATAAGTAGACACGCAGGGGTGCGAGTTGTAAGTAGCTAAAAAGGGAAGAAAACAAGTAAAATCGTGGATGATAAACAAATGGCTTGCCAGCTTGATAACCAGCAGGGTCCAGGGATATCGAGAATAGCGGGAAGACAGGTCGTTAATGCATCTGGTTAAATGGATACCGTTGGCGTTTGGTCCAAGGGCACTTGGCACCAACCAGTTCAGGGAGAATAGGAGTACAGGGTCAGGAACCAAATTAAGAGAGACACAAAGGAGAATCGAGCGCGCGCGCAACACTTGGCGGGTGGGAAGAAATGGAAAAAAGCAAAGAAGAGCAGTAGAATAAAGAGGATAAGAGGGCGGGGGAGGGATGATGGTATTAAAAGTGATCCATCCGTCTAACGGGTTGGTCGGCCGGGGGAGGATGCCGAGTTCACGGATGGGCCCGATCGTCTGTCGCAATGCTCGGCTCAACAAGCCTCTGGTCGCTGGGGGGAAAGAATAGAAAAAAGTATAAGTGAGTTAGCTGAAAGTCGTAGAATAATATATCGATAACATGACGATGTGACAAATGGAAGGGTATCATGATCATTCGAAAGCAAGCAACATAACGAATCGGTTATCGTTCGACTTTATGCCAGCCATTTAGGTACGCCATTATCCCGACTCCGATCAAAACAACACCAAGCATAGAAGCATATGGTGCAGACTGCTCCAGCAACACAGAGTCCTGCCTCTTTTGCTTCGCGAAAGCCGTTGCCGCTGCCTCAAGCTCCTTTATTTTCTCTGGGTTGATGGAGCGACAGCTCTCGATGACCTGCTCGAGGTTGGCGCTGGAAGAGCTGCCTGCCGACTCATCACTCGGTGAAGCGGCGGTGACGACCGCGGCCTCGGTTTCCAAGGCGTCTCTGGACCGTAGCGAGCCCTTGGAGGCTGCTGCGGTGGCCTCTTGAGCCTTCTCCTGTCGGATCTTCTCGATCATCTCCGCGAGTGTCTGGCGGCTCTCAGCAGCTTCCTTCTCCGCCCGCTCAGCAGACTCTCTGTACTCGTTCATTTGCTTCTTCGCGGTTTCCATCTCGGCCAGCAGCGTGTCGATGCGGCGCTTCAGCTCGTCAGATGAAGGATCTGGCTCTATAGTGGGGGCCACATCCGCAATCTCAGTGTTAGTCGTTGGCTTTAGGTCTTTTCCCTCTGGGAATTCGGCGGTAGAGTCATTCGGAGTCTTGCCCTCTTCATCGACCACACCCAAGTCTACGTCTGCTTGTTCGTCTGGGCCGGGATGGGTCCCATTTGGAAGCAATTCCTGGCTTGGTGGCTGACTCTCTAATTTCCGTGCACGTTCTTCAGCACTCTCACGGGCACTCTGCTCACGACGCAGCATATTCTCAAGCTCCTTGACCTTACTAGCCTGCAAGTCTAACTCTTTCTTGGTGGTGGTCAAAGCTTCAATCAAAGATAGTATCTGGCTCGATTGGGCTGGCGTGATGTCGGTTGCGGCTTTAGCCTTTTCGGTATCATTTCTTCTTAACGACATTTTCGGTAGCGAATCGGTAGAGAACGTCCGTGGTGGGCCGTCAGGCTTCTCGGGTAGAGGTTGTTGTGGGGGTGGTGCAGGAGGGTCTGAGAATCTCGACATAGAATCGGTCTTGTTTAGCTTGGGCCGAACGGGTGGTTTAGTTCCAACAGGGCTGCTCTCGGCAACATTGTTTAGGAGGCTAGCCCGCTCCTTGTTAGTGGTTTCTGGATTAGATATAGTACTGAGGAATCCAGAGGTTTGGCCAAGGTCATGATTCAGCTGTTTTGCCTGTTTCATCTCACACTATAAGGTAGAACGTTAGTATCAATGTGTAATAAGTATAAGATAAAAGGCAGGCGTACAGTAAGTTTTTTCACAACTTGTTCAATTGAGATTGGAGACGACCAGTAGTTCATCTGTCTCTGCTGGTGGAGGAGGTTGGCATGACTCCCAGGCATACTTTGTCCGGAGCGTACGCTTGCTGCACTTGCAGTAGAGGATGCACTTCCAGCCCGGCCACGCATATGAGACAGAGGTTGACTCAGGTGGTGTGGGAGAAGGCCACCACCCGTAGTGGGATCGATGTCACCAAAATTCAAATCTAGGATGTTCATGTTAGGTCCGTGGATGCCTGCATGCTCGACCTTTGCTGAAACCTTGTGATGGACGATTGACTTTTGATCTTCACTGATAATGTCGATACCGAGTTCCAAGACGTCATGTTCTCGCAGTTCATGAGGTTCAGAGTCTCTGTTCTCGGGGGACAGCCTTTGGCCATTGACAAAGGTTCCATTAGACGACTTTACATCTCTGATCCAAATTTTTCCTGCTCTGTCGGACCAAACCTCGGCATGCTGTCTCGAGAGGACCTTCGAATCGAAGTATCCATTGGCGGGAGTGGGAAGCGTTTTGGCGTTCGTTTGGCGGCCAATACGCAGCACCTCTGGGAAATATGGCACGTTGATCTGCTTCCGCTCAAATGTACCATTTATAGGAAGGAGGGAGAGCACAACGGCTGGTTCATGGGGTGGTCTGTTCCCAGGACGTATTCCATTCTGCTGTGGTGGCATGATGTGTTGCAGGGGGACCATGGGGGGTGTCTGGTGAAGGGCAGACATGGCCGAAGAAGCAGAGACTCCCGATGGGGGAACAGACACAGTCTGTGGCCGGGTGTTGGTCACGCCCGAGACTGGATCTGCTTTTGAGCTGGACCAGGTGTACCGTGACGGTTTCTTTCTGGTGGTTGCGTTGGAAGAGTCTGCACCGGGTCCCTGGGCCGGGACAGAAACACCATTACTCTGAGGCTGTATCGGCAGCTGGGAGGTAACCGTGGAGGTCGATGAGTTGGAGGAGTTCGAGGAGAGGGAAGACGAGGAGTTTGACCGTTGGACGCTCTTGCGTGGCATCAACATTCGCGAGACCTCGTCTGCACTCATTGAGGTAAGGGCACCTTGTCCACCGTCACCAGTCGGGTACCATCCTAGACGAGGCGCGGATTGCACACTTGGTGGCGATGCAACAGCAGTCATGGAGAGGGCGTATCTGTTTCTGTGGGTACGGGCCTCCTTCGGACAGAGTGAGCGAGGGCGAGAGGGAAGGCGACGGGGAGGGAGAGGGAGAGCGAGATGTGCCTCTGCCAGCCGTGATGGGATGAAGGGGGGGAAATGATATACGGTCCGGATCAACCAGTCTCGGTCTAGGCTGTGCGTTGTAGGGCTATATCGAGAACAGCAACATAAGAGGTGATGCTGAGTGCCGGAGACGGCCGCATGCGGTGACTATCGTGAAGAAAAGGCAAGACGGTGAACAAAACTGGTACTTGCTGGCAGATCCAACCTTATCTTTAATTAAACCACGCGAGCATCAACTCGGGACATCACATACCAGAAGCAAAGAACAGTCTATAGGCAAGGGGGCAGGGTCTATAGGGAGTCGCGTGTCCTCCTCTGACGGTGGCTTGTGTTTTGTTTGCAGCAGTAGTAGGGGAGTTTTATGGGGTAGACGAAGCAAGCAAGCAAGCAACTGTCACGAAACCGGTAAGACAGACGCCCCAGGAAACAGGAGAAGGCGTTGAGAGACCGGGTAGAGCGCGAGAGATGAAGCACCCAAAGCCACCCTTCACTGCTAGTGTCGACTGGCCCTGCAAAACACCCTGACTTGGTGTCCTTTTTGTCTCTCTTGAGTCTCTTTTCTTCTTTGCTTCTTCACTTTTTGCTTCAGGTTTTCGAGGTTTTTTTTGGTTTTTTTCTTGATTGAGGCCGAGAATGGAAGTCACATGATGGAGATATAGCCAATAAGACGTTGCTTAGTCAGAAGCCGGTCAAGGTTGAAGATGCGACGTTGAAGTCGAAGGTTGGAGAAGATCAGAGCAAAGAGAAGAAGACGACGACGAAGAGCAGACTGAGAGTGAGAATATAAGCGACAAGTGAGACGAAGCAGACACAGACAGACCGGCCAAGATGCCTCCAGTTATGCCGTCGGGCGGTGGCCAGATGAAGGCGCCATCAACATTTGACAAGAGTACGCAAATTCCATGCGAACCTGAAGACGGAGCAATGAAAAGAGTGAAGCTGACGGTTTGATACAGTGAAAATGGGTGCTATGATGGGAGGATGTAAGTCTATGCCAGGTAGCTCTCGTTGATCCTTCCTGCAATCTAACTGGCTATTAGCTGTTGGCCTGATCATGGGCTTCATCATCGGTAAGCTATCCCATAGCTTTGCTCTGCTTCAAGTCCAGAAACTAACCGCACCAGGAACCGTCTCGATCTTCCAGTACGGTGCCGGCCCGAACGGCATAATGCGCACCCTAGGCAAATACATGGCTGGTTCGGGGGCTACGTTCGGGTAAGTAGCATCTTGCCCAACGACACAGAAATAACAAAAGGTACAAACGTGAAGCTAATGATGAACAGCTTTTTCATGTCAATTGGCAGCGTCATAAGAACAGAAGGCCACCCAGGCGCCTACCAGATGTGGTCTGCCGCCCATCGACGACCAATGCTCATCCCAAGCCAGTTCCAGAATCGGCCACAGGCCCGAAAAGAATAAGCGCACTGAACCGTGTATCATCTTGTTTTTATCATACCTTTCCACATCACTTGGAACGGAATTTGTACAACAGCATCGAGGGTTGAATAGCGATATATGACATTTAATGAAACGGCGTCTTGTCTTCCGCCAGCTCTTCTTGGATATGATTTTGTATGGGCCATAGCTTGGATGGTCGATGACTTCTAAGTGGAACTATGGTATTAGACTTGGGTTACAGTTTGGGCCGAGATGCCAGCAGTTGCACTGGTCTATTTGTGGCTGTTATGAGCTGAGCTACTGTACTGATGCTTCTGCCTACAAGCACAAGGCAAGGAATCTATACATGTGGTCTAAGGTCATCTAGACTAGGCCCCCGACCACTAAATATCTCTCCATGCGGGAATTTCAAGTTGAACGGATGGCCGTGGAGCCTCAAGATGAATTCAAAACCGCTGGCAGCCAACGAAACAATGAAGAGAGATGTAAGTACCAGTAAGAAAAAGACGGGGGAACACAACTCTGGAGACACCCATCACATGCGTGGCCATAGGAAGGATCGATTAACTTAACGGCTCGTATAAGTAGTTGACAGATCCTTTAACCTTTGAAGGCGATCATTTTTTAAACAACTTCGAGTAACTCGTTATTAATTATTTAGTGAAGTCACGGGTAATCTCGTATGATATCTCTATCAAATTAAGTTTCATTATTTAGTTAGGTTATGCTTAAATTATCTACAACTTCAACTTCAACTTCAACTTCAACTACCTTCATCTCCGCTAACCACCCCAAACCTTCCCAAAGGACTGCCCAGTTAGGCAGATCCAACACAGACATAATACCCTGCCCGGAGGCCAGGACAGGCGTTACCCGCAGCTGGATTCTTGGTATAGCTATTCCCTTGTGTGGATATTATACCGTTCAAGCAGAGGTTAACAGCTCACAATATCTGGAGGGATGTGGAACTCGTAGGATATTTTTTGACAGTAGTCACCAGAAACCACTTGATACCATTTATCACCTACAAGGCACCAGTATTAGCCATCAGCCATACATCCTAAACTTCCTGAAGATGACAAGATATTTAACTTACACTTCGGGTTGACGTTTGGCTGGGGCGCAATTCTTACCAACGGTAGGATTCCAGGTGTAAAACTGGTCGAGAGTGAAAGTCCTGTATTGATCAATGATGGTCTGGCAGTTATCACCCGACTTCAACTGGTGGTATCGCTGACAGTCGGGTGCAATCCTACCGTGAACTTCACCTGGCCCCAGGACGAGATGCAGGAGTTGTCATCACAGGAGGAGTAGCTGTCGACGGCTTTGATGCTGTCATCGGAGTTGGCTTCGAGATTGTTGTTGGAACTTGGGGAGATGAGGTTGGGTTTGCAGAAGCACTGGGCCCGGTATTGCCTGCAAACAGACAGTAGGTCTTCCCAACAACCAGAGCATTGCAGTTTACACCTGGATTCCACTTCACAAACTAGTCTACACTAATTCCATATTCAGCAGTTAAGGACTGACAAGTGTCACCGCTCGTCGCTGTGGCAGTGAAAGCGCAGGCCCGCGGACGGAGGGGGTCGCTTCATGTGAATACAGTAAGGTAAATTGATAGCTTGGTGTCGGCGTTCTGCTGTAGCTTGCGTTAGCGGTGTATACAGACATCCTGCATAGCAAACGGGTGTATCGGCTACTAGGTATGTCGTTATTTCTATCACACGAGGGCAAATGAATGGAAACAGCTGATCCAAAGACGAAGGAACTAAAATCCTATGTGAATCTCGAGCTAGCTAATGAACTAGGTAGTCACTAAGTGCCTGGAAGGCCGTTTCCTCAACGCAGCACTTACCAACAACATAGTATCCCTGTTTTGTTGGATTCAAACTCGCCGTCGGGAAGCCCGGATCAGGCAAAATATGAAGTTCCCCTTGACTACACTTTCCCCCTGCATCTCATCCTTGTTCGTATCATGTGCGGCATATGCATGGGTTGCATGTCTCCACTAATCATTTCTCTCCACTCCCTGCTCATCCGCGAGCCATGTGCGCCTGTGATTCCACGCCCTTGGCAATCATCCTTGTTAAGCGCTCCCTGATTTCATAATTAGAGTAGTTAAACTTCTTTCTTTGAGCTTGACATGGCTAACGGTTTTAGTATAAAATGGCAAACTGTGAGTTCCTGAACCAATTGGTCAAACTATCCCATTTATCCCGAATTCTTAAGCCTAGCAGTTGGTTCTGATTCCATCATGCTGCTACTAAACACGTTTATTTTCCTATCGATTTTCCTGCTACGATCCCTTCCGTCCCTAGCGAGAGGGTTCGATTTTGAGGAGGACTTGTTTCCCAATTACCCCTTTAATGAAAAAGTACTAGATGGCATTGAAGTCTCCCTGATCTTCCCACGCGGTAACGAGACCTACGCACCGACCGCGTATTTTCCCATTGTCATGGCTGTGCGGAATCCTGAGATTACATTTCCACTGGGCCTGCGCCTAGGTGCAAAAGTCTCACATAGGGACTCGTTCAACAGTGATTTATTCTACTTCCCGAATGATAGCTCTACCACTGGCTCATTCCCGCCCACTTCTCCCTACTACTTTGCCATTAACGGCACCGACCTCATCAACCGCTTCACTGGATCATTCACTGTGAAATGGCGCTTTCGAGTGCACAACATATGCAGAGACCTTGGGGAGCACTGCCCGATAATAGAACAGCACTATTCTTCGCAGACATTCTCTGTCGACTTCTCCATTTCTCCCGATGCGCCACTCCCCAATATTGAGGAGGCCGTTAACCGCTGCTCAAATAGCACGGCCTGGTTAAAGCCTTTTGGTATCCAGGAATCTACTAATTGTCCTTTAATAAAAAACTTTAGTAGCCCGCTACCACCAATGCCAGACCCTTGCCTTGTTAAACCGTTTGCAAAAGATTTAGCGGCCAATGTTTCCAAGACCATACTGGGGTTGTTGGATTGCCCTGATGGGGCGTGGCAGACTATTAAGGAGCCTTGCCGCAAGAAAAGTAGCGCATCGCGGGGGAAATCGGGGTTTAAAGTAGTATGGTTACTTCTAGCTGCGGTTATATCCGTGTGGGCTGTTTTATGAATGTAACTGTGCTTCACTTCTTTCTATAGCTGCTTCATGTTGGTAGCTCCACATCAAGCATTCTTACAAACCAATTATGATCTATTTTACTTCCTTATGATTCTTCCCTGCCCCCTTGGCAACCAGTTATCCTTGCTAAGCGCTCTCAGATTTCTTCATGAAGCCAAGCCTTTTTTTAAGTGTCTTGATTTTTGATAACTATAAAATGGCCAGCTGCGTGTTCCTGGGCCAAGTGGTTGAACTGCATCCATCTATCCCACTACCCCAACTTCAAAGAGGCAGATATGATTCTGGTTCCACAATGCTGTTAAATCGACTTGCTTTTCTATTATCCCTGGTATCCCTGGTGATAGGGCAACATGACAATATTACTTATCTTCCATACAACGAAAAAGTACTCGACGGCGTTGAGGTCTCCTTTATTTTCCCACGCGACAATGAGACCTATGCACCAACCCTATACTTCCCGATAGTTATGGCTCTACGAAATCCCACAGACACATGGCCGCTGGGCCTGCGTTTTATCATGACTATTAAGCCTCAGGATGAGCAAGCTCCGCCACCTGTAGACGGCTTTATCATGTATCCTCGCCACGGCTATACTTCCGGCTCATCGCCCACCTCGTCTTCTTTCTTCTTTGCTATCAATGGTACCGAACTTATCCACAAGTACTCGCCCGGATGGTTTACCATCTTAGGATATTTTGAGGTTGAGCATACCTGCATTGACGTTCAACCGGGGCTTGGGATAAGAGAATATTCATATTTCTCAGATCCCTTTAAAGTCAACTTCGCTGTCTCTGATGGAGCGCCGCTCCCTGATATCGAGGCAGCTGTTAATCTCTGCCCTAATCACACTGCTTGGTTAAAGCCCTATGGCGTCCAAAAGTATACAAACTGTTTTTTACGGAATATCACTGCAGACCTCCCACCAGTATCAGACCCTTGTCTCGTGAAGCCGTTTGCAAACGAGCTGGCTGCTGATGTCTCTAGAACGATGCTAGACTTGATGGGTTGCCCTGATGGGGACTGGCGGACTATCAAAGAGCCTTGCCCCCCGATGGAAACAAAGAGGAGCGGCGTGCCAAGGAAGGAACCAGGGCTAGTATCGTTGCTCGCAGCAGCGGTCATATCGGCGTGGGTGGTTTTGTGAATGTAACTGTGTCTTGCCTCTCTGCAGCTGTTTTACGAACGAATGATGATTATAATTGCTTCTCTGCTCTACCTTAAGTCATTTAACTAACATTCTGGGTTGTACGCCGCCCCTTGAGTTGGGTTGCTTTTTCACCAACGAGCCAATGAGCAGCCCCAAAATAAGCGGGTCGGACCGCGGTCCACTAAACTAAAAATGGCCTAGTCTACAAGCCGCGAGCCGCATCAACTCTCTTGCTCCAACGACCTGAAGTCAACCTCGTCTGAGAATGTGCGCCCTGCATCTGAACGCCGTTTGATAAAACCCCCAGTTAGAAAAATTACACCTCTAATAATAATGAGCCATGATGGATGGCAGCCCAGACCCTTGTCCAGCAAACCAACAAACCGGCTTATTACCTGCAATAGGTTGCTCCAATCACCGAGCTGACCTCAAGCAGGTCCCCGACTATAGATGGGTGATGCACCGAAGTAACCAGGATCGGCTACGCGCCGTGGTAGGATTAGAATCGCTGTCTTGTATTTCTACCAGCATTACCCCCAACACCGAAATTACCCCAACCTTCCTGAGTATAAAAAGGGGTGGCATCCGTAATGCCTTGATAAACCTATCTCTAAAGATCTAGTCATCTTTGCGAATCCATACACAAAACACCTCGGGCTACCATGGTGCTCCTTAGCATTGTGCTCGCCTTGGTGGGCTTACTCACTTCTACCCTTGCCACTGTTACCCTCCCTATGCGAGATCCCCCCCCTCTGCAAGGCCCACCCAACCTGTTAAAAGGTTCTGATGAGAAATTGAGCCGGCAACAGATAAAAAGGGATATCAAGAATACCGGCGATGTAGCGGCTTGTGACAAGGAATATCGAACTGGGACTTGGGTCAACCATGAGTGTACTGAGAAGTTTGTGACCGACCCGCTATATATCAGGCCCAAGGTGCGATGGGAAGGGCTTGAATGTGCTGCTGCTTGGAATGATGCGAAGATCAGATGGAACTTTTGTGATAGGCCTAATAACACATCATTCAGTGCTTCAGTTTCGAACTTTTTGAAGTACGTGGAGGTGAGGGTAAGTTATCATGATTTTTCACAAACATCTTGAATGGCTAGCTAATAACATTCAATAGGCATGTAGGGACCTGGCCTTGCATAACAACTGTGTGCTTAGTGCCTCGTGTGAAGCTCGTCATTCGATGCTTGATGCGAAAGAAGATTGGACCGGGGCAGGTGCATACCTGGTCTGGAACTCGCTCACACAAGTCCTTGCCGTGAGTATTTCCCTATCATTTGCTTCTTACATCTTCCATATACCACGCCATTCTCTATGGGGAGGGGAATGCAGACCTATAGAGACTAATCAAACCCCTTTTGTAGCTGATAAAAAATTATCAATCTTCCCTACGACAAGCAGCCGTCGAGGTCCAAAATAAAAAGAATAAGTTTGTGGACACGTTCGCTCCCCAGGGGCATCGGCCCGACGATGCCATCTGGCTTAATGTGCTTTTAACCCTTATTCTAATTCCGTCAACAACTCTGGGCACGCTCTTCTGGAAAGGAGGTTAGTACCAATCACATCTGTGATACAGTGCGCTTCTGTGGAGCATATAGGTGACTTACTAGCTAACCGGGTATACAGCACTTAAGGACCTGGATTTCTTCAAGGATAAGTCTCTGGCTCTAGATTTATCAAAGGATACTTCACAGGCCTTAGTCTCTGCTGGCTATATAATTACTAAAACTTTCATAGAGTTCGTCTCCTTAGCCCCTCCAGTCCAACGCATTCTAATGGAATTTATTGCAGGAAGGAAACAGCAAAAGAGGTGACCTTCGATTATTTATACGATAATCTGGTCAGCAAATGGACTGATCAGATTGACCAACTGATTAACACCCTGTTCAGCGGCACCGACGAGAGTCTTCAACAACTCAGCAAGATTATCTCGGATGGCAAGATGATTGCCGGAGCAACTGACCGTTCAGAGGGCACGACTGATCACACAGAGGCATTCCTACAGGAAAAGCTAGCAGAACGAGCCTTCTACGCTGCTGCCATCCCATCCGTGTGGAAAATGCGGAACCCATACGCGAGCTATCCTGTCGTTCTTGACCTTGGCCCCGACTGTAACAGAGATATTGGCTCAGACAAGTATTTTAGGAGCAAAGAAAACTACAAGCAGGGCTGGATATGCCTTGATGGACATAATTATATCCTTGCTTCTACGTATGAGCGCAACAACGATGGACCGAATTGTCTACGTGAGTTACCACAGCTTCAAATCCTAGCTGATGGTCCCCAAACCATCTCAATTCGTACATGGCTAACATCAACCATGAAAGCCGAGTTTTATCCTTGGTGCCTCAACCTTCCGGGAAACCTCTTTCCATTGCCAGGTTTGGACAAAATTATAAACCCTAATGAAACATTTGGCGGTGTGACAGTAGAGGACCTCGTCGCGGGGTAAGTACGGAGTATTCACTGCACTATCTTCTAACCCTGCTATTCCACAATGACTAACTGGATACAGGGCTGTAAATACATGGAAACGGTCTGGAAAAATGAACATCATGGACAATACTCTCGAAGTCATCAATCCCTCAAATAAAGACGATTTTGATGACATTTGGGACCATGGCATCCGTGCGCCCGGGAATATTCGTATCCCCGTTTGCAGCGTAGAGGAAGCCGACTTTTTGGCGAAGGACGGCACCACCAATGGCCTTCCAGATGAAAATCGCCCGAGCTTCCCTTGCTTGAGGGATCCAAATAAAGGGTACGAGAGCACTTATTGGGGTACGTGGCCCAATTAATATAACAGCTCGGATTAGCTTCGCTAATGGTGATACACACACACACAACCACTTTTTCTTTGTTAATAGCTGAATAGCTTGATCCCATTCTTTACATGTTTCTTGATTACTGTACCTTGTATCCAGATGTTCATACGTAATAACAGCTCTTCTATTCTCCAATGTGCTGCTTGCCACCTTCCATGCCTCTCTGCTCCAACTTTTGTCACTGGTAATGTGCCACAAATGTGCCATTCTGGCCAGAAGGTGGATCTCCAAGTAGCTGCAGAGCAACATGACATATCATGACAACTTTTATAGATCGAGAGGCTCGACATCTTTACCTTCCTAAAATAGAATATTAAGGTTCGGGAAACCACGGAATGTCAAGGAAAAATAAATCTCCGGTATAGATGAGTCAGCACGGGTGTTCCTGGTGCCTGACGTGACGCTTATATAAGGAAAAAAATCCAAAAACGGTAAACTCAACACACGACAAAGCCGGGACGAGACTTTTACAGCCTTACTTTCGCTTGACGAAGTGCCCCGGGGATGATTAGATGACGATGTCTCGCCGGCCGCAGGTTAAGAGCCATGGAAACTAATATAAGAAATATATTAATGTCCAGCAATACCCCTCCGTATTCACATGAAGGGGTACGGAGCTCTCTTACGACGGGATATTGGATCCTGTGCGACGGAGGACGGGGATATCAAGGATTGGTCGTTACTCAAGCAGCCAGCAGGGCGGCATGAAATAACGGAACAGAGAAGGAAAGAGATGATACTCGGTGAGAAACCAAGCCTTGTCCCATGCTTACCCCGTATCTAACATGGTAAATAACAGTATCAGCCAACCCAGAGACGCCCTTGCGGTGAACAGCCAGCTGTACGCACGCCACGAAGCCTGCCAGCGCCCGCATTGCCAACACACCCGGACTGACTGACAGCAGGGAATGTGACAAGAGAGGGAAGTTGGAAGAAAGGGAAAGTCCCTCAAAGCGAAGACGATGTACCTCCGTAACTACTCCGTACTGAGTAGAAACGACGAGAGACGCCGAATTTCAAGAAGACATCTCAGGGGTCGTCATGCTGGGGGATTGCGCCCTCTCCACTGGCTAACAGGGCGACTATGAAAACCAGCATCAATAAGAAGGGCAGGACTTCCCCTGGCTAACAAACCTTCAAGGCCGTTGGACTTGTGGTAACGCAGAGATCAAGATCGGCACACCTGCTAGGCCAATCGCTTTTCCCTGTCTGCAAAAAGCAACGAGAGGGGGACGAGAGGAAAAGTACGAGACAAAGCTGGCAGGCGGCTCCAGAGGCTCACACGTAGCTTTATATTTGACTTTCTTGCAGGAAGAAAAAAGAAATGAACGAGAGAAAATGCGAGGGAGAGCGAAGGGCCTGCTCGTATTTGTGTATTTTTGCGATGCGCCCGGTCTAAGTCGTTGGTTCCTTTATTCTTTTTATATTTCGCCCCCAGCGCACTTTTTCTTTCCCTCCCTCTTCCTCTTCCTCTTTTCCCCTTCTCTTCCTCCTCTGTTCTATCCATCGCCAGTCATTCATTTGGACAAAGTCGTTCTTTACGCTCTTTTTTACTCCAGCTTCGGCTTCAGCTCCTACAGCTCCCGCGCTCTTTGCATCACCTTTTTTGCTCTTTACTCTCGTTCTTGCGACTCTGCGACGTCTCCCTCCTTGCGACAAGCCACTGTAGCAGTACGCGCCCAACAGCCAGCTTCGAATTTTCGACCTCTCGCCTGTTCGACTCGTCTATATAGACCGCTTCTGCTTCAATTCTCTCCTCAGTGACATCTTGTCAATTCGATCTTCATCAACCCAAAAACCAAAAAACCACAGCCAAAATGCGCTTCTTCATCACCTTCCTTTCTGCACTCCTTGTGCTTTTCGCACCTTTCGCCGCTGCCGAAGACGTCGTCTACTCGACTTCCACACACACACAGACAGTGACCATGACCATCATCCACTCTGTCTCTGCGCCTACTCCCAGCATGAAGCCCCCGGTCAGCGCCAACAGCACTGCTCCCTACCCATCTTCCATGATGACCAAGACCTGGGGCACCGGCACCGGCACCGGCAGCATTCCTACCCCCACCGCCAGCAACCCTGCGCCTGAGCCTACCTTCAACGCTGCTCCGGCAATGGTCGCCAGCTACGGCTCTGCTCTCCTCGCTGGCTCTATCGCCCTTCTGGTTGGCGCTGCTCTATAGGCCTCTCCTTAGACACGAACTCAACCTTCTGTCGCGCGCAATATTTCGGCAGCTACCTTGCGCTCCTGGGCTGATTTATG